TGTGGCGGATTTCGTATCTCTAACGAGAATGAGTAGAAGATGACACTGGATTTGCTCGCGAGATTGGAGAAATCCACATAGTCCAACGATTGAAAAGGCTGGTCAAAACTGTCGAGAGACGAGAGAAGAAATATGTAGAAGAGCTTGCGGAAGTTGAAGATCGAAGAGCCGAAGAAGTTCGTATCGCCGAAGAACTTCGGAGGAAGATTGCAGAAGCGAAAACGGCAAAAGAGAATCTTTGTAGCAAGATTGCGGCGATTGAGGGTAAGTGTGATATGAAATTCCGACGCGCAGAGGAGCTATCAGCGAGTCTGCCGGAGGGAATCCAGAAGCATGAAGAAGAGTTGACGAATTGGGCCAAGAAATTGACAGATTGCGAATCGGCCAAGTCTTTGGAGGTTGAATCGGAATGTCGACGGTTGCGGGAGCAGTTAGGTAAGACGGACATGAGATCGCAAGAGTGGCGAAGGAGAATGGAGAAGTCTAAAGAGGCCTACCGTCATCTGCGGGACGAGACAACCAATGACTTGAGATTGCGTGTAGTGAAGTGCCTACGCGGATTTGCGATGTGGGTATTACAAACGGTGAAGTGGCTGAAGTTAGATTCGCTCGAGCGACGATTGATGAGCACTAAGGCCAACGGATCCGCAAGACAGCAGCAGATTGTAAAGATAGTTAAGACCTTTTCGGAGGGATTCGATCATGCGCGCCAGAATGTAGAGTTAGAGATTATAAACGTTTTGCGTAGACTAGGAGCAGAGATTAGTTTAGACAACGCCATAACCGCTATACGGACGGCACAGCCCCTGAGACCGATTCGCCTCAGGCGGTTGAGATTCCAGAGTTGCCATTGTGAATAAAGAGACCCAAGGCTCTTTCCTTGGGGGCTTTTCTGTCATTTGGCTTATCTTGACTGTGAACCTGTGTCCATTGTGCCGTGCGCTGGTGTGTGATCCGGGCATCGAGCAGAGTGCGCTCATGTTTGTAGAAGTTATCGCATCGGGAGTTGTGAGTGTTCAACTTGAATGTTCTTAGTAGCTGTGTGCTCCTTGGGATTTAAGCAAATTCGAGGTTGGGTATTTGGGTCAGTGAGTCGGGATGTATGCAATGCTGGGAAGTTTTCCCCCTAAAATATGAGTGTGGGGTTTAGTTGAAAAATTACAGTTGTAAGTAAAATTGATTACGATAATACTGGATTGATCATGGCTTTGAAATAATCATATTTCATGTGTGAAATCTCATGTTGATGTATGTTTATAATCTTCATTTAAGTTATTATCTTTAAGTTAATGATAATTTTGATAAAATTTAAATATACAAAGAATCATACAGTTTTATTTATTCAATATAATTAAAAAAATTGACTATGTAAGAAATAAAAGTGAACATTAATTTAAAACATCTACCTAGCATGTACACACAATTTATTACTTGGAGGTTTAACCATTAAATTTCATATGGATTTTGTATCAATGAATGATTATTTTGAAAAGAATTGAATAAATCAAATCTTGATAAAGTATTTCATTTCAAAAATATATTAGAATTTTATAAAGAATTGGTATTTAAAAAATTAAAAAATTAAACTAAGAAGTTTTGTTTATCTTTTTATTCAAAAAAGAAGACAAAATGAATTTAGTTGTACAATTGAAATATGAGTTTACAATTAATCAATCAATTAAATTCGAAGCCTGTAGTAAGCATTAGATTCCAAAAATATCACAATGAAAAGTGTTTGCAATTAATCACAAGATCTGTGAAAAACCAAATTCAATTTGGATCGTAATATCTGATGAACTGCAAGGTACATCAACATGACCTGCACACGTCAATCTTCTGATAAACATCATGTGTACTTGTGATTGAAAATTGAGTGATTTGCATAATTCTTGCATATAGGTTAATATGAAGATTATATAGTGTATTTAAAAAACTGCGAAATAAATAAACATTATTTATTTATGCTTCATCCTATTAGCCTAAGCCGCAGTATACTAAAAAGCATACTAAACCAACTGGAATCTGAACTAATTGAATCTAATTAAATTAAATCGGATTGACTTTTTGTGCCATATTTTGCTACCGTAACTCTTTTATTGGTACATGAAATGACTTAAATTTAAAATTGTTCAACCTAGGTCTCTATCTCTCACTAGCGTGTAAACAAAACTCAGTAAACCAAGTACCAATTAAGTAAAGAAAATAAGATTAAACGAAGCTGAAAATCATCATATTTCAAAAGAAATCAAATCCAAATTTACTAAATATTCCAATCCAATATATATTTAGGTAATGGTAGGTAATTTAGTGGTAACGTGGAAATTTTGTGTTTGATATTTTCTGTGAGGTCTCGATTTTTTTATATTTAAACACATAATTTATAATTTTCAATATTATACATGACATAATATAGATATGATATTAGATATAAAAAAAATATTTCAAATCATGGAAGCTTAATTTTTTGCATACATCAAGCATTTAGTTTTTTTATTAGATGTTAACAGTTCAAATTCGTAGTAATATAACGATTTACATTGAAGTCTTCTTCAAATAAATGTGGGATATTCTTATGAAACATTTTGGTTTCGTAATTAAGGTTAAAAATAGTTTGTGAAGGTTTCTTAACATGATTAAAAAATGAATATATTTATGTTTGAATAGTGAAAATTTATTCGATTTATGTAATTTATATCAAGAAATTTGATTCTCTTTATATTAACTTTTTACACAAACCTTTTGGATATGTTTCATTGTAAAGGATTAACATATATTCTTATCTCCGAGAAATATAACTAAAGAAAATTATCCTAAACATTTCCATTGAGAGTTTTTTATTGTTAATCTAATTTGTTTCTAACATTATATTAAAAAAAAAAACACTAACTCCTTATTCATTAAACTTCAAGAAAATGAAACTCTAAGTTTGATTGCAATCAAAACAGCATGAACAATTGTGACTGAAAAAGATGAAGAATCATATGGAGAATTTCATTATGTTGACATCATCCACTCAAATTGTACCACACGAGTAGAATGGTTCCAAATGTTACTCGAGCACGGGCTCTGAAGATTGAATTGAATTTATTCTTGGTAGTCATGTACATATCCAACTGCGATCAGAAAACCTGTAATACGTTTTACGACAAAGAATTGCTCAAGAGTCGAACTTCAACCGACCAGTTTATGATGAACAGAGAGATAATAATGGCATGCAGGTGTCAGAGTGACAGAGCCCATCATGATAGCATCACTGATTAGTCAACCTGTGCCAAATCAGCTCCAGATTTATCACAACGCTGTGTGGCTGTTTTCGTCTTGTAAAAATTTAGCGAAACCGGCAATTTCAAAAGAATTTGAAATCTCCTTGAATAGATAATCCTTGAAATCTCCACGGGATTCGCAATCGGTTCTGTTGTTGTAGGTCAGAATTGTAGATGATCCATGTATTTCCATTCACCGATGCAGAGCTAACGTCCAGGCTGATCTACTCTTGCTAGACCAATTCGAGATATCGGTAAGAAGGTTCTGTAGGGAGTTAGCGCAACGAGAAGAAACGCAGTAATGCATCGCATCAGATTCATCGCAGATCTCGACCCTAGATTCAACATCCTTCGAACTCGGGAAGAGACTTCTGGCTGAAAACGAACTCTGGAGTTAACTCTGATCCCCTCTCGATGGAATAAGTGATCACGTGTCAGCAGATTCACATTCCGCCTGAAGAGATGTTTGAGAAAATTGCCGAAAGTCGAATCGTCGATTGACATTCGTTCCAGATTTTGCGTAGACTCCAACAATGCAGTACGCGAGTTCGCACAATGAAGCCGCCTTCTGACATCGAGCGGAGCACACTTGGGCCACTGCCACCGGACAATCTTTCGAACCGCGTAACCACAAGGGCCGGATTTAGCAACGTGGTCGATCTTAATGATGGAGCAGAGGCCTCTTTCGGTGGAGAGTACAGCCTCCTCCTCATCAGCTGACTGTTTCAGCAATCGTACACAACCCCGAACGTATTCAGTTATCTCGAAATTTGAGTATATCCAGAGAGAGAGAGATCGGTTTCTCACATGTCAGTGAGCAAGATCCATCTGCCGATGTGAAAATAATAATAATGTCTAGGCCAAGTGACAGATATTAATGACCTTAGTAGGAGCCCCAGACAGAGAGCAGTTCAGAGTATACTCAGTCGATCCGAATGCTTTTAGTATACGATTTCCATGACATCATTGATATTTTCCCCGGCAGTGAGGTGGAAGACTATGCCACTCGTTTTCTCCTGAACCTTCGGGAGATCCACATGTGGAGGCTGGAGCTGTTGCAGTTGCTTCAGCTGTATATTCCATTGCCACGGGCAAGGAGTTGAACGGCCTTCGTGTAGCTACCCCTAAGGAAACCTTTCTGAACTCCAAAGACCGTTTTCAAAGGTCTTCGGATCAAATTGGATCAGAAGGAAGAACAGATTATCGTTTAGATCATACAGTACTCGAAATCTCGGGAGCTAGAGCTACTTGTTGAGCAATCATTGCAAGTGCAGTAGAGAATATTGGAATCGTTCGGGCGTTCAAAGCCCTCAGTTAGTTATTGGAGCTGCTACGAACGGGACTACTCTTTGCTCGGGTGATAAATTCATGGACTTGTAGCGAGAGAACTTGCTCACTTTTTGCAAACATTCCCTTTTTATGCGTGGCGAGACTGCAATGGATTCAAGTGTGCACGTCCTTCTTTGCCTTGTGGATATGTTTTGGAATCACACCCCCTCACATCCTTGTTATGAAGTTTTGATGACTGGCATGCATGACAACCCGCCAACTAAATTGCCGTTGTCCTCGAGCTCTAGGAACGAAATTGGTAGACGCAGACCACTTAACTAATGACTGCCACTAAAATGGATTCCGAATCATGAGAGCTGGAACTTACACATTCATATCTGCAACTCCAGGCAACAGAACGGGACGTCATAACGATCTTCGAGCTTTTGAGTGAGAACACTTTTGCTTCAGAGGAATGTGAGTATGTTTTCTATCGGATCTCATGGTTAAGTCTACGTCGAGGATTTCCTCCCCGGCGAACATGGACTCGGGGAAAAGCTCGTGGACATACGAGATTGAAACTTTGACCTGAGGTAAGTTTCGGTATCAAAAGTGACGACTTCACGCACAATCTCCCTCGGGCTAAGAATTGTTTTGTCCGGTAGTTGGTGAATTATACGAACATGCTCAAAGCGGACGTAGTTGAAAAGACGGAAATTGTCAACTTGTTGTCACCGCCATTCGCCGGAGGTCGAGGAGAAATTGAAACAGCTGAGGTCACAGGTTGGTTGGTGGGGGCGAAGACACTGGGCAAAACTTTGAGCATTGTCAGCAACGATGTTCCGGGCGCCCTTCAGTTCGTGATAGCCAGTCACATCCCGCTTCCTGTCCCTGCAACTGTCTTGGACTGTACCTTGAACCATGCGTCTCGTGTACATTGCATCAAAATGTGCTGACACAAAATTCATCCCCTGCATCGGAACTAAGTGCTGCAATCAGGCTCAGCTGCAACCGGAAACGTTAAACTTCCCCCGCACAGCATGAGTAGACAGGCGCCACGGAGTAGACATGGCCGGGCTCGAACTTGATGTCATTCATCAATAACGCTAAACCACTGCACAGTCTCAGGGAGACAGGTGTAGAAGAAACATCTGATTTGGCTGCTCCCAAAATTACGAAGCAGGAATAAAGTGAAATGGACTGCTATAGTACGAATGCGCTATGTTGGAGGATTACTACAGTACGATTCTGTCACATCGGCAGAGTGACAGCGATTGGACCTGGCCTTTGACGAAGTAGCACGGTTCGTGCCGGTAAGGGAGACGAGGATAGCACCATGATACGGACGAAAAAGATAAAGTATGATTCTGTCAGTGATCTGGCCGAGTCAGTGGTGTTTCATGTACGGAGCGAAAGGACTCGTCGTCCCAGAATCTTGTGGAGGCATACAATGCTCGCTCCTCTCCTCTCGAGGGTGATTAAATACGTCGGCCATAGATACACTACCGTGTCGTGGAAACGTTACATCTGCATTCTGCTTTCTGTCAGTGACATACAGTGCACCTTGCTGTAACGACCTCTCGGTTGCTGATTCGCGCCATCGGCTCAGTGTACTGGATGTAGACCTGCTGGTCACTAAACTCATCTGCATTAGGGAGAGTCAGACTTGGCCGAGATGTTTGCCTGGGCAGACCTCTCGGAGCTCTATCTCCCTCCCCGTCTGTCTGGACATTCACTAGATAGCCGGATAGCTCTAAAATTCCCACATGAGTCGCTCCTCCACCGAGTTTTTCTGCATGGCTCTAAGTTGGAGTCATGCATGAACCAGAGGGTGTATTCAGAAGTTCGTCCAGTCCTGCCTCGTCTGTGGGAACAGAGTAGGTGTGACCATATAGGCCTGTCAGATCTTTACGATGAACTGAACTGTACGTAACATGATGATTTCTCAGAACTCATTGCACTTAGGACTATCATCTCGAGACGATCGAGCTAAAACTAGACATGACTTATGATTGGGCTCCAAATGGAGGTTCCAAATTCGTCCCTGTCCGTTTGATATCTAATTTTGAGCGAGTCCTTACAACATCAGCAAAGACTGACGTTCACAACAAGAACAGATGAATGGGCCTCAAGCTCAGATGGAAATTTGTGTAGTTCGAGAATGGAGCAGCATTGGCGTGTGATCTTCTGTCCTTGCAGATGGGAATTTGATCCGAAAACCAGGGAGATGGTATTTGGAGAATGTTTGTACGTTGGTGACGAATATTAGCAACATTACTTCATCTGGATAGGCATATGTGATGTCTGAAATGATCAAAATGACTGAACATTCAGTTGGAATGCTAGCAAAGTAGAACCACCTTATAAAGCGTATAAACGCTATCTACCGCAAGCCCTACTTGCTTTCTGTGCGGAAGGAATTTTGTAGATGGTATTTTCAGATGCAAACATAATGCGACCTGATCCCTTTGATTCTATCGATATCGACAGCCAACATGTGGAGGACATTTTGGTGGAGATTCGACTGTAGACACTTGCCTACGTTAAGGACATGAGAGAGGATATGGAGGCAGGTGCATCTGTTGACCTTGATACGGATACAGTAGTTCTCAGCCTAATGAGAAGAAGGGGGCAGAGACTTTATGGCAGTTTACAGAATCAATAAAAGTTCTTAGCTTACCGCATACGATCAGTCATAAGCATTCTTCAGCAGTGCGATCGGACGTGGAAACACAGATCTCACTCCAGCGGTCCAGCTCACGCGGAGTTTCGAGGGACCCGCATTAGAGGGACTTGGTGATCGAGAAGGAGAATCAGGAATAGGCTTTGGGTGCACTGCATCGAAGTGTACTTGGGAGAGCCACGTGCGCATACCGTCAAGTTTCGCAGAACCATGTGGCAACTGATTTTCCAGCGACCCTAGGCCTACGCTTCGACACGCACCTGCCAAGGGTTGGGAGGGCGGACTAATGGATGAGAAAATTCACGATGCAGGACAGTCAATGCCCGTGACAAAGTTCAGATGTCGAAAGGCGATGCGTTTCTCCCAAGGACACGGCGTGACATCATCGCTCGGACCGCAGCGCGACCAACTCATGACGGATGCCGGGGCCAGACTGAGCTGAGCACTCGCTCTCTCACTCAGCGTGCAGTGTTTGAACGTCGGAAATCTCCGCGAGGATCGAGGGAGTCCGTAGCTGCAGCTGGTCGATCGATTCTGGGATGTTTTGCAGCTGCCATGAAGCGATGAGCTGCAATGCCCAGAGTCGCGACTGGCGGAGCAGAGTAACATGTCGAGGAAGAGCTCCGAGGCGAAGGAGGTCGAATTTGCAAGCTTCGTCCTCGTTCTGAAGCAGGACGCAGACCTTCGCTCGATGAACTCGGATTCTCACATGTGAGTCTTCGATCTTCGCGGCGTCCTCGGATATGGAGTCTCCCGAGCACGCGCTGGCTCCGTCGGCATCAGCGGAGCGGGTGCTGCGAATGGAGGAATCGCAGCTCGAGGTCGACAAGGGGAAGAGGTATCTCGTGTACAGAGATGGCGTGGAGTCGGGGATCAGAGATCTCAAGAGGGCGCAGGCGATCAAAAGGTTCGAGCATCCGCACGGGGACACGTCCAAGGCCAAGATCAAGGGGTCGCTGTGGGGCTTGTCGGTGCTGCCTCCGCAGGCCAGATCGGCCAAGAATGTGCAGCGCGTGCAGGAGCAAGTGTTCGGGAATTTCTGGAGCGTTCCGCCGCTGCGCTGGGCCACCATCACGGGCAACATCAGCGCCATGATCAAGCTGCGGAGGATGCTCGGCGACGCGGCATTCCTCGAGCTCCTGAACCTCGTGACCACGAGCGAGGAAGGCATGAACTGCTTGCATCTGGCGGCCAACAGAGGCCAGTGCACCGAGATCAACAAGCTGTTCCAGCACTGGGGGCGACGCCTGAGGGAAATCGTGGGGCGAGCCCTGCAGCGTGCGTACGGGGACGTCTTATCCTTCCTCCTCTCGGTTCCAGCCATCGACTTGAATGCCATAGACGCGGACGGGAACACTGCTCTGATCCTCGCCTCGTCCTGCGGCCATTGGGAGGCGGTGGAGATTCTCCTCGAGGCATCCGCGCACACCGGGGTCCTGAACAAACGAGGTCTGAATTGCCTCCATGCCGCTGTGTCGGAGGGTCATGTCAGCGTGGTGAAGAAGCTCTTGGAGAAAGTGGGCAGGACGAGGGCGAAATTCGTGAATTCCAAAGCCAGAGGCGATTTCGAGTGGACGGCATTGCACTACGCGGTGGCGAGGAATCGCATCCAGGTGCTCAGGCTGCTCCTCGAGGATCCCAACGTGGACGTGGACGCGCAGGATGGGAAGAAATGCACCGCCCTCTTCATCGCGTCGAAGCTGGGCAACCTCTCTGCCGTCACAGCTCTCCTCACCAAGGGCGCCAACCGATTCCTCGCGGACGAGGAACGCAGGAATTGCCTGCACATCGCGGCGTGCAATGGGTACCTGGACGTGCTGAGGGAGCTCCAGAGCTCGTCAGACCTCGGCATCGACCTCGACCTCGACGACGACCTCTTGCCCGGCACGACGGACGTCTCGAACGACGACGAACTGGCGTCTCAGATCGGCACGGACGAGGAAGCCCTCGAGAAATCGCCCGAGCGCATCCTTGAGAACGAGGACGAGGGCCAGAAATTCGGATTCGCGTCGGAATTCGATCGCAGCAGCCGCAACCGGATCGACCCGGACGTGCTGGCCAAATCGCGGAGGACGTCCGAGCTGCTGATCGAGGCAGCCTCCAAAGGGCGGGACGATGTGGTGCTCTGGCTGCTGGAGAGCGTGGGGCTGCATGTGGACGCCGAGGGCGAGGAGAAGAACACGGCCTCGCTGATCGAGTTCGAGAAGGGCCACACGCTGACAGTCGAAATGCTGTCGGGATTCGGGGTGAATGTGGACGTGCAGGACGAGGACGGCAACACGGCGCTCATCCTCGCGTGCAAGAAGGGCCATACCTCGACAGTGGACATGCTGCTGCGCAAGGGGGCTGACATTCTGGTCTCGAATAACGAGGGCCTCAATTGCGTGCACCAGGCCGCCATCGAGGGCTTCTCGGACGTGCTCAAGGTGCTTCTGGAGGACGACGGCGACGCCGAGTACTGGAACGGCGAGTCGCTCCCTCTGGACCTGACGGCGGACCCGGGCCGCTTCTCGGTCCGCCTCGAGGCCATGCGCATGCGGGCCACGGCGACCGGCTCGACGCTCCTGCACATGGCCGCCCGCGGCGGTCACCCGGTCGCCACCGTCGTCCAGCTCCTAGGCGCCTACCTTAAACTCAACCTGAAGGTGCGCGGTTTCAACCGGCACCCGCGCGACCGGGTGGTCGTGCCCGCGTTCCTCCAGCTGGTGACGGACGAGGTCGCGAGCCAGCGTAGGGCCCACTTCTACTCCGAGGGCGCTCGGGGCGTCCGGTCCGACGGGTTCGAGCCCGAGGACCCCGGGTCCGAGCGGTCGAGCGTGCACAAGACGCTTCTGGCGCATTTTATGTCGGCGCGCGACGACGTGGAGTGGCGCGAGAATCTCCTCGCCAGCAGCGAGCGCTACGGCGGGTACCGGCGGCTGGCGCAGGAGTTCGTCGACGCGTACGCGAGCGCCATTGCCTTCAGCAACGAGAAGGACTTGCGCCAGCGGACGTTCCTGCACGACGTCGCGGAGAGGGCGGTGGGGCAGAGCGCGACCCCCTGCGCCGGCGCCAGCGGCAAGTGCTCCGTAGGGGCGCTGCTGGAGTTCGTCACGATCGATGTGCACGCGGCCGACGGGCGGGGCGAGACGCCGCTGCACATCATGACGCGGCAGGGTGACCTGTGCATACTCCGGCACATCTTCGAGTCCGGGCGCACGCCCGACATGCTGCTGCGCAACGACAAGGGCGAGTCGCCGTGCAACATCGTGTGGATCGAGAGCTGGAGTCACATGTTCCGCGGCGGGGGCGAGCACGTCGCGTCCAAGTGCCACAACCTGGTTGGCGACGAGGAGCGCGACTGCCGCCACTGTGCGACCTGGAAGTTCCTCGAGGCGCAGGTGCTGAAGAAGTTCCTGGCCGACGATAGCAAGCCCAACGTGGAGAACATCATCGCGGGCTTCCTGCGCTACCTGCGCGAGGACCTCGAGCGACGGCGCATTCCCGAGTACAGCGTGCGCGACGAGTTCCTCCGCGACGGGCACTCGGGCGGGCTGACTCTGCTGCACTACCTCGCCTGCCGGGGCCTGGCCGCGCCGCTGCAGGAGCTGCTGCTAAAGAAGAGGTTCCGCCGGCTCATCAACCGGCGCTACGACTGCAACGGGCAAACGGCGTTGCACTTCGCCATCGTCGGCCGCAACATCGACTGCGTGCGCGTGCTGCTGGCCGAGACGCTGGTGCGGCGCAACGTCGAGGACGGGCTGTCGCGAACGCCGTGCGAGCTGCTGTCGGAGATTCCGCAGTCGCCCTTCACGTCCACGGTCAAGGACATCGAGGCGCTCATGCTGCAGGACGACGACGTCAAGGTGTTCCTGGACAAGCAGTACCGCGACCGCCAGGTGCACGTCGATGCGGGGAACACGGCGCTGGTCGGAGCCGCCCTCATTGCCAGCGTGACATTCGTCGGGTGGCTGCAGACCCCTTTGGGGTACACGCAGGACCAGCAGATCGACAGTCAGGACTTCTCGGCCATAGAACAGCATACAAGTGTCCAGGTCTTCTGGCTCTTCAACAGCTTGTCCTTCTTCTACGCCATCGCCACGCTGGTCAGCGGCGCCGGCGCCGTTCTGCCGGCTCCGCACGGCCAGTTCATCGCCAAGGAGGTGCGCCTCATGCGAATGCGGCTCGTGCTCACGTCTTTTCTCCTGGTCATCTCCATCGTTTGCGTGCTCTGCGCTTTTACGGCAGCCGGAGTCGGCGCCCTGCCGCCCATCTCCAAATACCGCAAACTCATGATCGCCACTTCCCTCGGCGGCGTGGTTTGCGTTTTCGTGATTTGCGCCTACTTCCGGCAGTGGATCGACATTCTCAGTCGCGACAGTTCGAGATTTTGTTTGATGTTCCAGAAAAATATGCAGCGACGGGGGGCGGAGTTCGGCTGAGTCTCCAGAGGCAGTCGGGGCTTGCAATTTTTTCTGCTAGTGGATCACGGCAGCACTCTGGAGCTGAGCTATGTATCGTAGTTGTATCAACATGTCGTCACCCTGTTTCCATATGCATATTGCATGAATAGGCTTTTTGACTTCCATCGGTAAGAGCATGTCTCAGCGCCGAAATTTTGTTATATAATGTAAATTAGTGAATCATTGGCTGTTACCAGTTTCGACTGTTGTGCTTTTCCTCCACCCAGCGCAAAATGTTACTGAACAGACTCCGGAGTTGCATATTTCTTTGCATCAGTTTTGGCCCTTACCGAAGAAAGTGATGACGAAGTGCAGTGAATTTATAAAGCGTTCAGTCGATCAGAACAATATCATCGGTTATTAGCATCGGTTAACATGATTTCGCTTTTATTCGCTGATCATAGATTTCATCTGATCTCTTACAGCCTCTGCTACTAGCTATGTGTAATTTTACAATTTTTCATGATAATTTTAATGTACAAAGGAGAGTATCTAAGAATTTTTCTTTTTTCTTTCATTCTATCTTTCTTCTTCCCTACGGTGTATGTTTATAGAGAGAGTTGGGGTGAGAATGTTATATGGGCTAGAATGGAACCTAAATTCCGGGTTTAGGAAGCATATAGAAAACATTCAGTTGTCAACAACTCATTCGAACAGAGGAATGATAATCAACTTTATTGTTTTCACAGCTGAATCCAGAGCCACAAGTCACATGGCAACTATGGCTACAATCACGAACCATGAATCAAACCACAATGAGTATGAGCATCTGCAGTCTCTTACAGCTTTACAGTCATGTTGACCCTCAATACACGATGTCGTCAGAAACCCCTTGAACTCTTACTCTCAGCCGCAACGGCACTCAAGTCGGTTTGATCTTGCGGTCACTGGTCTGTTTCTGTTTAGGTTCTGTGGCATGGATTCGAGCATTTAGGCAAGTTTATCGATTGCGATGACTTCAGAGGTGAGATTTTAGTTTGAATTACCGTTACATATGTTGGATCTGGAAAGCATTCTAAAAGGCCAATGCTCTTTCTATCATCATGATATTTTGACGGTAGGACCAGTTCTGCGGCAGTCCTTATATTTCCCTTGCTGATAACATCGGATAAGCCTTTTGCAGAAGCTAGCTACTTGTAGTCTTTAGTTGACTGGACGTGGGTGGGCTTCAGACATTGTTGTCATTTTTTTGTCAGAATCTTGTTGAGTGTTTTTTTTTTCTATCTCTTTGTGGGCCTTCACGATGCATTCTAATCTCTTTTGGACCCTTTGGAATTTGTGACTTTGTACGGTCAAGCAACTTGTAATTTAGATAAAATTTAAAAAATTGGCAAGAGCTTTTGCTTCCAGGGACACGAGATATATTTCGGGGGGTGGGGGGAGGGGGGGTTGGGTTTGTTTTTTGGGGCATGTTTCAATCTGGACCTTCCTTTGACGCCGTCACGGTCACTGATACCCCAGCACTGCTGCTCTGCGATGGAGACAACCGGGTCCCGAGTTTGTCGTCGAACAGATTATTCCCCAAGCCCAGAACTCTGAAACAGCCGTATTGCCGAGCGAACTAGGATTGCTTGGTTGGGAGTAGAAGACCTGTTCCGAAGCGAAAGTTTTTCCTCCATAAGTTCAAGAGGGAGACCCATTCTGCACTGCAACGGACTGACTGATAGAAGTCGAGACTCCCAACATCCGTTGGTGGCAATTATATCTCCAGGATCTACTTTTAGACAAACTATTAGTATTGCAATTATCCTACAGTCGTCGGGACTTGTCAGAAGAGGATTGTCTTTGGTTCGAGATTCAGACATGCTGAGACCAAGGTTAGATAGTACGAGTTCGAGAGAAAGTGAACATAAGGAGAGATTATAAGATTTCAGAGACAGTTGCCTAGATTTCTTTCTGCCCAGCATAACTCAGAGTGACACTATTTATGTCTAAAGGTCTCAGCAGAAAAATCTTTTGGGAATCTACAAATTATGGGATCGTGTTCTAAAACAGAAGAAAGCAATCCGATGTCTAGTTGGTAAAGGTGCAGATTGTTTCCGATTCATGCATCCGGAGTTGGTTTTTTCTATGGTGCATACGACTCCCCCTTCGACAAAGCCTCACCCAAATCTTCTTTGCGGAACAAATCGAGACATGATGTTTTGTTGTTTGATAATAAGAGAAAGTATCGTATACCTACGCTTCTTCAAGATATTTGATGCCATTGCTGAGCCACTTGTTGGATTCGTGTGCGTACTGTCTGAAGCATGAAAAGCAATGCAGCAGGTCCGAGAATCAGGACATTCTACGAAAGAATACCCGAGCTCTCTGTTGAGAACACGTGGCTTTTTATTGCTTGCACTTCTGACCCAGTCTCATCTCAGAATCTTTACAGACGTAGACGTTACCTATCGATCTGATGCAAAAAGACATTTGATGCCTTTTCTGAACTAAGTGACAGAACCCACAACCCAGAATGCATACGTACGATACACACGAGTTGGACTAATTAACTTCTCCAATATATCCATCCTTGGTGTTATAATCCACAGTTCTAGATGTGTGCTATTAGATGCCAACATATGCAGCGACAGTAAGGTTGAAAGAATTCTACGTTAAATATCTGAAATTTCTAAAAGTCAGTGATTATTTTTAAAGATTTATATATATACCGTAAGAATATGTATATTTTTGTATACACACACGCAACTTCAGGTGGAAAGGTGGAACGAGCCTAAATACTTCAGATATGACAGCAGTCTTTGACGACGGGTTCTCCGCAAACTTCAGGGGAATAGAAGATTATCTTTAACAGAGAGTTTTCTGCACTGTTTGGAAAGAATAGAGGAGACTAGTGCTCGAATGGATTAGATTCAACGGAGGACGGAAAACTGAAATCTGGATTTGATCGATAATCGAGGGACGATAGTAGACTGGGTGGCACTCGATTGACTACTCCGGATACGATTGCCGGTGGACGGCATTGCATAGCGCAGAGCATAATGATGTAGGTGTCACGTCAGAGAATTATCTATATCATAAGGAGGATACTGTGGATACGGAGGGTAGGGATGGTGGAACATACTCGATCAGCCTCCGTCAAAGCTCTTACTTTTAACGAAAAGACATGCACATGGGAATGCCATCGCTCAGAATTGCCTACTTGCAGCAGCAGCAGCATCCAGGGGTTACAATCTTGAGGATACTTTTTAAGCACCAGGTTGGTGCCAGTACAGATCTATCGGAATATCCTGTCACTGAAATAGCGATGAGTGAAGTAAATCTCGAACCGACAGTCAAACCGATGCCATATCCCAAAAGTCATCACGATACAGCCCATGAAAGCCACTGTGGCTTTGAGTCGTGGATCATGTCAGTTTCCACTTTTGTGCAATATTACCAGATGGTCTAAACGGCCTAAGAGGGTCGATCCTGACAAGAGTGTCCGCTGTCTCTCGTTTCAAAAGGGTGCTCCATGCCGTCAAATCTCACCTGCTTAGATTGCAGAACAAATCCTGAATCATTAAAGCGGGAACAAAGGTAAAGGATAAAAGCAAGACACACTGACTACGCGTAGCTCAGGTGGATGTAGCACTAAATCTACTCAAGTCTACGAGAGCATGCGTTTAGGTCGCACTGAGAAATTAAGATCCTAGTAGCTATCCGGTACTAGGAAGAATCCTTCCTAGTAGAAGGATTCTTTCCATGGCTGATCGCATTTCCTCGAAGTGAGCATGAGAACCCAACTTCTAGACTTTAAGCTTGTCAGAAAACAGAATTTGTTGGACCGTCCGTTGGTAACATCTGCATCATCATTGCCAAAAGTCTGCAATTTGTCCAGTGGAAGTGGAGCCAGCTCCTTAGAATCTAGGCTCTGTATCTGAATTGCCAGCATCAACACGTTTCTCGAACCTTGACCGACCTTCCTGTGCACATTGTTTTGGCCATCGTCACATCGTGACCTCTTCACATGCAAGCAAAGATGCAGTGTTGCCGCTATCATCCTGGTCATTCACATCAGCCGTGATCACCTCTTACCAGCGAGCTTTGAATCACGACGTGGAATCTGCGAATCGTGTGTCACAATTAGACGAACGATCTCCTCAAGCAGCTACCGAACCACTGGACGGTGTAGACAAGAACTCCATTGAAATTTGTGCTAAATTATAGGCACCCCAAGCGCCTGTGGAATGTCGTACTCCTCTTACGAGACTTGCAACACCACTCTGAGAATCTCAAAGTCCGTGATGAGCGTAGTGTCCGACCTCGAATAAAATCATTCAACCAAAGCGATCCACGAGGCTCTCTCTCTCTCTCTCTCTACATGCATTCTCATCTGAGTTCCGATCACAGCCGCCGCATGCAGCGAGGGAGTGGCAACGACGGCCCAGACTTACGTCAGAGACTCTGACGCCAGTCAACTCTGATTCAGAGTTGACTCCGCCTCCAATTTCCAGAGGCACGTCCATCGAGCAGCATGATTCGCTTCATCCACGAGTGTCATCACGGCCGCCACATGATTTGGGGATCTGAAAGAAGCATACACAAATCAATTTGTTCTAAATTTACTCCCTGGAAATGAGGTCAACCGGCAGGTTGACAATATACGAATATACGAAGATTTGAGATTTTGCAGCTTCAGCAGGAGGAACGCGTTCCTTCTCAAGTAATCAGTCTCAGTCAAACTTCGTCGGCGACTCAGAATTTCTAGATATTAAAATAATCTAGATTCAATAAAATATGTATTGCTAGGCCGGAAGGATCGACTCGGAGGGTGATGCGAACTCTGAACCGAGTCCCTGCGCGCGTTTCAGGAAAGGCGTGTTCTTCTGTGGCGGTCGGATCCGTTGACTGGAAAAGCGAATGTTTCATGAGTTCATGTGTCCAGAAAGAGCTAAGAGAGGTCGAGGCGACGGGCGAAAATAAACGAGAAAGTCGAAGTCATGATACTTCCTCGCGAGCTCAGACTGACATGGCAGAATTTGATCTGAAATCGCGGTAGCGACGTATGACGGGTTCAAGGAATTGACTTGTTCTAGAGCTCGTGGACGACTGGAGCGAGATCGAAACTCTCTGACAATGGAGCCTGTGCTTAAATACAGCATGTCGTCTCGTATTCAAGCATCGGGTCTTGTCGTCGGAGCCAGGGTGACAGTGGCGAGTTTCTGTGTCCATCGCGAGCGCTGTGCAGCGTTACTAAGTTTTCTGTGTAGGGAGGCTCACAGGCCTGAGAAGATTAATGGCGAGTCCGGTGTTCGCCAAAGGTTTGCTCCTCGTCTTGCTGGTTGTCATCTCCAGCATGAATGAGGAGGTGGAAGCATCTGCGCGCTTTGGATTGAGAAGCTCGGGAACAGTCACGGGGTCAAATTCTGTACATCCTGATGATCAGTCACAAAAGGTGAGGCCCTTTGAAGCCCTCGAATCTCCTGCGAAGCTAGTGCGAGATCCCCCCGACGATAGCGTGGCACCTCCCTCAAACATTGCACGAGTGATAACAAAATCTGTGCTGAACCTGTTCGACAGTTTTGTACCCCAAGTCTCCAGCAACTCGGGAACAGTCACGGGGTCGAATTCTGTACATCCTGATGATCAGTCACAAAAGGTGAGGCCATTTGAAGCCCTCGAATCTCCTGCGAAGCTAGTGCGAGAACCCCCCGGCGATAGCGTGCCACCTTCCTCAAATATTTCACCAGTGATAACAAAATCTGTGCTGAAACTGTTCGATAGTGATGTAGCCCAAGTCTCCAGCAAGCAAGAGTAACAACGAATTCAGTGCATAGGAATTGCTCCACGCCAGTCTCAACCGTAGGTGCCAAAGAAGAATGAAAAAAAGCCCAAGTTCGAAATTCGAAGGTTGCAGACGAGCCATGAATGTACATATACTGATCTTGAACTGTTTCCCAATGACAGAAACTGTAATCTTGGGAATGTAGGTGTGGATTTCTAAACTGGCGAAATTATAGACTCTGAGGCACATGCCATTGATATAGCGTTGTCAGCTCAGTGGTTTGCATCTTGTCTTCGAGAGGGAGAAACTCAAGTTCCAATATTAATGTTTGGAGCTTGATTTCATCTCTCTATCCGAAAAGGTTTCGTGAAGATTGGCTCTGTGACAAAATTTATGATTGTGAGGAGCCAATTTTAGAAATTTCTTGTAATATATGTATAAAAATAAAACTGATTTGACTTGTCCAGAGTTTCCTTCAAAGGTTTAGTTCATGAACGTGAAGACATATTGACTGCTGTCAATCGGTCAGTCAGAAAATTAAAGGACACTAAAGTATTCAACTGTTGCAGCCTGCAGAATATGATGATGGTATCCTCCATACCACGCTCAGATTGTGTATACGTTCATCTTCATGTGTTTGTAACGAATAACGAATGAAAATGAGATCAAAATCATTGTCACTTTCTTGCGTGAGTTTACACTCGTTATTTTTTCACAAGTACTAGGTTGTGATTCGGTTTCATACTTACATCTATTTTGTTTGATTTTAATTTTTAATAATTTAAGAGCTAACAATATATGACTTGATGTATATATGGAGTGATAAACTGACTAGATATGATGTACTTAGAAATGTGGTTTGTGCATGTGGAGTGAGCTTTCATATGTCTTGCACTGACTAAAGGGAGTCAAAATCTATATATGATTTATGAAGCTACCATTGCAACATTGGTCAAACACTAGCTACATGTGATATAGTTTCAAAGTGATTGATTACTCAATATTTTAGCACTAGATGTGATAACATGAACCAAGACTTTTGCACAGATCATTTTTTCTCCAGTCTAGCATTAGAGTTATTAGTTTCATATGACTCAAATGCTATATTATTAGACTATGAAACAATATTGCAATATATATTCGAGAGTTTACATGATAAACTAGTATGGTAGACTACAAAGAATATATTACTCTATTTGCATGTTCTGTAACCTTTCGTAGAAGACATATTTTCATTTTATAAAAATATTATCAATGATACTCATATATGAATGTAAATGCATATAATAGCTTACATGTTATAAATACTTACATGACTTTTTCTAGCATTTATAAAATCGTTGTGGGTTGCACTTCAAAATAGCAACAAGATGTGTTTCTGTTGTTTCGTTTACTCGAGTTTGACTATAATTTTAAAATGTGCAATATAGTGTGGACATTAATATGAAAACATATATAGAAGTCATTCTTGTGATAATAACTGCCTGAAAGTTTTTTCAATATAAAGAAAGATAGCATCACTTACGACGAAAGTGCATGGATGTATCTTACATGCTATACTTGAGAAGTATGTTAAAGGAGGTTCTCATCTGATTTGAATACTTAAAGTCAATCAGATAAGCAATTTCCGCAAAAAGGTATCTTGTTTATATATGAAGTAAATTCTTATTCTAAGAGGTAACCGGGTCCTTCATGTAACTTTAGTTTTCTCTGTTGTGGACCAGGCCCACATAAACTTCACATAAAACAGATTCTGAAACTGTAGGTCGAAAAAGTGTGTCCTTGAGATGCACAGGATGTCCAGTGGAACCAGTCCAAGGAATATGTGTACGAAAGTTTTAGACTCTGTTTTATCTGCTGCTTAAATGGATATGTGAAGTTGATGTGGCTTGATCCACAACATAGAAAATTAAAGTCAATTGCAAGTCCATTTTGAATGATGTCATCTTCTTCATCTTGACGTTCTGTGAATTTATTATTTTTCGAACTTGAAACCCAACATTTAAACCTGGAATCAGAGAATAACACTTGATCCATGAAATTTCACTTTTTTTCATGCTACTACAGTACAACATAAATTGCTGCAAACGTCCAAATGTCTAGCCTTCCCACTATCTCAATCTTAATCTCGTAATGAAGTAAAATAAATTTCGTATATATCCAAAATATTGTAATATTAAACACTGAATTCTAATATCTAGCCAACAATCATATAGTTTCTTACACATTCACAGTTCTAGTGGATTTTGTATATAAAAATTCGAACGTAATTATCGTATTTTTGTCTTAGTTCTGGATCATTTTTACTCAAAATAATCCAATTCGTGAAAAGATTTGTGTCACTAGCAGCTTGTACAGCACTGCACAAGAATTTACATCCAGTTTTTGGTTATACAAAAGTCAATTATTGTCAATAAATTACGAATCATGGTAAGCTCCGAAGATCTCAGTGTGAGTGACACCATCGACCGCGTGAATAAATCGTCAGGGGCCGAGTTAGTATTGACCCAGTCTGCAAATCAACAAAGTTGGCTCGATCCATTTAGCTCACATTTAAGCCACGCAATTCATAAGCAGGAAGACAATGCTTCAGGCTTCATTGTTCGTGAGTCTGATCCTGATTCAGAAGCTGCATTCTTAATTTCTCGAGGCGCTGCGAGCAACTGACGAGCGTGATGATGATTAAGATACCTGCCAACAAGGTCTTCATCTTGGTGGTGATGGTGGTGATCGTCGTGAGCTGGAGGTTCGAAGACGTGGACGCATCGTCCCGAGAGTTATTCAGAAGCCCGGGTCTGTCAACTTCTTCTCTGTCCAGTGATGTGCTGCTGCTAACCTGCTGCATTGATCTCGAGCTCCTTCATCTTTCTTTCCGGGTTTCTTTTCAGGTTGATCGAATTTATCGCACATGAATGTATCAATGAGACGAAGGTGCAAATCAACACGAGAGGCAATGTGCTCCAAGCGATTTGGACGGTATAAATGTCGATTGTGTGTGTACGAACTAATTCGACGGTTCATTTGCATCGCAGGAATCACGATCGTGACGGCGGAGGAAGATGTCAAATCCTTCGAGGTGAGAAGTGGGTCTGGAGATTTGTGGGACTTTTGAGTTGGTGGTATTTTTACCATGTGACATTTTATGATAGCATATACTCATAGCCGAATGCCTCTACCTCAACACCAGTCACGAATTGTGATTGGCACGGCCACGAGTCTACGTCGAGCCGAGATTTTCATGGATACAGAGAGAGAGGGCTAGACGATATCTCTGTTCTCTTTCTCTGATGACTGACTTCTGTAAAATAATCTGTCGATTTGCAACTTCAGATGTTTGAACTTCCGACGGATTTCAAGCCAGGCGATCTCAAGTCTGCACATCGAGAGTTCAAGAGGCCTCTGAAGGGAGAACGGTCTACTCTGAGGAGACTGCTTGCTCCTGAAGACAGCAGGAAACCGCCGTCTAATGGAGAGGTTTAGTCCGATCAGTAATCAATATAAATAGAAAACAGCCACCTCATGATACATACATATTGCACATTCACAATAGACTACGATCAGACTACAGCAAATATGTGCTTTCATATCCTACAAACAAAATTAATAGAATTGTGAACGTTACAAAAGTTTTTGTGACATAAACACTCCGCTGATTTTATTACCAATGTAATTGCATCAACTTGAATATAATGTTCATCGATCCCTTATCATTCTTAACTATGTGTCCAGCGTTCATCATTGTTGCAAGTCGATAATTGCAGTGCTTCTTGCAAGAGGTCCCCGTCACAGCAAATATGATTACAATTCTTTGTTCCGTGGTTACTATGTTTCATGCATCTTAAGTCATGTTGTGATCCTCATCTAGTAGATTTTTTTCTGTGCAAGAAGGTTTCAAAATCTACTCCTACTTCTACCTTGTAAGATATGCTCCTTCCTTGTTTTAATCAGCTTTATCATGTAGATCAATATCTACAAGAATGAGAGGAGTTATAAAAGTTTTATATTGTTTGCACATATCAGTTTCTATGTGTACTCATGTTTTTCCTGGACATATGAGTATGCTTTTCCCTGATTTTTCTAAGTCTTCATTATATTTCATTGAATTCGTAATGATTGTTAATGTGAACAATGTCTAACCTGAATAGCTGAAACAGTGAACATGCACACTGTCCGCCCACGTAGAAGCTCGTTACTAATTTTACACAGGTTACATAACAATAATTTATAATCAAACGATTAGTTGTTCAGAAACAAGGATTGGAACGACGAATATTAAAATACCAAATAACAAAAAATACAACATTTCAATATGAAACTGTAAGAAATAAGTATGTGGCATTTGACATCAGAATAGTGTTAAATATATATACCAGGACAAAAGACACCCTGAAACTGGAAACTAAGAGTACTTACGTAATTTTGAATGCCTAAACAATACATACAAAAAAAATGTTATTGTCAGGGAGAACAATGTACGTGGACATACATCATGAACCGGGACCGAGGTCCGTTAGCTTGATATATGGAATGAGCAAGGCCTTCAGAAAAGGCTGAATTCAGGATTCGAAGCTGTGGATCGATTTATTCAGGGCAGGGGCGGAATGCAGGAGAGCAATTGAAGTCTACAACCGAACACCTTTCATTTCCTGGACGCAAGTTATGGAAGGATTCTCCTGTCAGCGAGGCTCACCGCGAGCTGTCCGATCAAATATAATAGAGGCTCATGGTTAAGTTAAGGTAGCTCACACTCATTCCAAGAACGTTACTTGAGTCTTGGCATGCACTCCAGTTTGGGAGTGAATAGTGCATGCCAAGACTCGAGCTGGGGAGACAGGTGGGGAAAGCCACCTTTGTAATCAATCATGTCACCTCTCAGCATCTTCGAGGAGTGGGGCCACTGATAAAAGAGCTGCTTTCAAAGTGGGTAAACTCAAGATGTAGATCAAACAACCAGGAAGAGAAGAGAAGAGAAGAGAAGAGAAGAGAAGCATTCATGTGCTTTGACTACCTTGACAAGCTAGTCCATGAGGAGGCTAAGTAGGATGATGTCCTTCATACATTCCTTTATAAGTCTCGCCAGGCTACTTTACAAAAAGTGAACAAAACTGGGAATTGCTCAACAAGCATGAGCGAACCTTAAACCGAGTTGAGTCCCATTTGGTTCTCAGTAAATGATATGGTACAGAAAAATTCTCGAACTAGATGCGATCCGTTCAATTGGTCTTGGCAAGAGAAGGAAGAATCACCGCAACTAGACTTTTGAGTTTGTCTTTCGGAAGGGCGCCTTCTCTTCGGCTGCCGGGAACTTCTTGTCCGTTCACAAAGAGCAATATCGTCGGCAGGCCATAAACCTTGTACTTTCTCCTTCAAAGCCTCGTTGGGATCGGTTTCGATTTTCACACATTTCAACTTTCCTTCGTATTCCTGTGCACAGGGCAACAAATTTGATCAGCTCCTCGTCTTTGCAGACTCCGAGAGTCGTTCACAAGAAATGTGTGAACATAAAGGCCACAGGCCTTCATGAATGCAGATTACGACGTCAGGTCACAATCAGATGTATACTTTCTAAGCATAGCCCGAGGAGCGCCACACGAGAATAAGGCATCCCAGTCAAGGATATGGTCGCCTCTACGTCTATTGCGTCTTCAGAAGTAAAACTCCAGCTACAGTAGAGAAGAAGTCCACACGCATTGCGTCATTCAGGGTCAAGGTTTGTGCAGCAACTTGATTGAACACACATCTTACAACTTCTACAAGCATGCGGCTCTCATGCTGATCCTACATCACACCACAACATCAATCCTACATGATCTCTGTCTCTGTGTGTCCATCTGTGAAAGGGTTATTTGCAGGAGACGCGGCAGACTGATCAATTACACCCCAATCAATCATCGACCAATGTCCTCCTCGCTAGACACCAATGCACTTCATGTCTTACTGCTTCTGCTATAGTCTTCGAACTTTACATCCATCTCCCAAGTTCTTAATTCAGCTGAAGAACGTGCTTTCTGAAGTTACCAAGAGATACAAGGACGGACCCCTTCGTCCAGGAAAGGGTTGGTTTAAAGATGAGCTGAGGAATTCCCAGTGTCAGCTGAAGAAAAGGCCGTCCGCAGGAAGTGCGTTCTTCCTCTGAACTTGACACCTATCTGATCATCTTCGAAAGTACATCCTGCGCGGCTCCTAATTTCTCACTTGGCATCGCGCGGACATCGACCTTCAGTTTCACTCACTCTTTGCTCGCACTAAAGATGCAAAATGTAGCATCCTTCTCCATACTTTCATGAGGCCTCCTCTAGTTATTTGGAAAAGCGAATGTTTCATGAGTTCATGGGTCCAAAAAGAGCTCAGAGAAATCGAGGCGACAGGCGAGAATAAACGAGAAAATCGAAGTCATGATACGTCCTCGCGAGCTCAGTCTGGACATGTCAGATTTTGAGCTGAAATCACGGTAACGACGTACGACGGGTTCATGGAATTGACTTGTTGTAGAGCTGGTGGACTAGTGGCGCGAGATCGAAACACTCTGACAATGGACTCTATGCCTAGATACAGAATGTCGTCTCGTATCAAGCATCGGGTAGTGTCGTCGTAGCCAGGGTGACTGTGGCGAGTTTCTCGTTAGCGCTGCGCAGCGCTACTAAGTTTTCTGTGTTGGGCAGTCTCATGGCGATGTCTGGTGTTCGCCAAAGGTATGCTACTAAGTTTTCTTCGTAGGGAGGCTCACATGCCTAAGAAGATTAATCGTGACTGTGTTCGCCAAAGGTTTGCTCCTCATCTTGCTGGTCTCTATTCCAGCATGAATGAACAGGTGGAAGCGTCTTGGTGCATTGAATTGAGAAGCTCAAGGACAATCACGGGGTCACAAGTAAATCTCCCATAACATCTGAGATCTATTGTATTGCAAACCTGCTTCATGACCCGCCAATGTGTGAACCTGGCATTGCCAATACCATCAAGGTATGATGCCCTCGAAAATGAAATATTTCAAATCAACACTTCCTCTTATACCCGAATAGTTGATAGTGGCAACAAACAAGTATAACATTGCACGAACTATGCAATATGTAGTGAGAAGACTTGGCGTGCAATCTCATCGTTCTCCACATATAAGTATCTTCGTACTAAAATACATGCCTGCAACATAGCTGCCAAATATATGTCGATTCCGTCCATAAGTTCCAACATAGAGATAACTTTTGGAGTATTCTCCCATGCAATCAATGTGGTATCTAATGCAATAACACACTAGAAACACAAAGAGACTGATCACCTTGAGATTTCTCTATCTTTTTTGGTAAAAATACTTCATTCCAAGTCTTCTTCACCAACCTATCAGCCTCATGATGTAAGACGTGGCAAAAACGTCAAAGTGGAACATCTAAAGAAGAGTACACTACCTCTGCAAAGCTCACAACCTCCTCTGCATCTTCACAGATGGGGGTATCGTCGACCGACATGTTGCCCTCCAACAAGGCGTTGGATTATGCAAGCACTCTGCTAAAACTTACAGTGGATGCCAAGATCATAGAAGAAGACTCAAGCGATCGAGCCCTAGAAGTAAATTTCACAGGCAGCTTGCTTAAACTTTCATCACCAGATTGGCAACAAAAGCTATAAGCAACTTTCTCAATTTAATAGTACATATGAAAACCTATCAAATGTAAAACTACCCCACCAATAGTAATATCATATGACTATACTAATGTAACCACAACACAAACTCCAAATCATGAACTACCGTGTGATCATACTACAACTGCACGGGTACGCTCTCTGTGATCATATGGTATGACGTATTGTTGGCGCTGCCAAGTGATGTCTAAATTGGGATGGAACAAAATTTTAACTTTTAACTCCGAATAATCAAACTATGGCATGCCGCCTTGCCCAACATCAAGAGCTGTGAACTAGAATCAAGCAAAAACTTTGACTTGGACATATACATGTCATTTAGTACTCACCAAGCGAAATAAATCACTCCAATTGTACTTCATACATCTACTAGGTACAATACTCTAACGATCAATAGTTGGCTCATCGGTTAATGATTCTATCCTTGTCGTTGCCGCTGCCAAATCTATTTGTCTGTCAACGTAAGCGTTGAAGGTTGTTCCACGACAGTAGCTTCCTATATCTCTGCACTTGTAACAGTGACACTTTCACGTTTATATGACGTGACTGTACCATAAAATATATGAGCCAAATCAATTATAGAGTTCATAGAGAATAATACACTATATGATATATAGATAATTCGGTCATCACAATAAAAATATTAGATGGTGTATGAATCATGGATGAACTCATATCCACATGGAATAACAAAATGATTAGATTAGTCCAACTTGATTTCCATCCTTACCCCTATGAGTAATTCCACAATACCAGCGCATGGCTCAGTGGTACAAGTAACAACTCTCGCCATTTCAACCATGACTCAACTGGCTATATAATTCAACTTGATATAAAATTTGTATCGCCAGCAGCTTGTACAACACTAATACTGCACGAAAATTTACATACCATATTTTGGATTATACAAAAATCAATTATTGTCAAAAATTACAAATCATGGTAACCTGATCTCACCATCAACCGCGTGAATGAATCTTAAGACGGCGAGAACGTATTGACCCAGTCTGCAAATCAACAAAGTTTTATTCATCTATTTAGCTCACATTTAAGCCACGCAGTTGATAAGAAGGACAATAAAGCTTCAGGCTTCATTGTTCGTGAGTCTGATACTCGCCTACGCGAAAGTTCAACAAAAGAAAAATACTATTTTATTTTTTTTCGCTTGTCAGCATAAGGGAAGGGGCTTAAGCGTCTGCTATATCTTAGCAGATCAGAGTCTACCAAGTCCAGTCCTGGACAGCGAAAGCCCATATGAATGGCGAGGCACGAAAATCATTACCAAGCCGGGTAAGCGCGAGAAAATATCACTTGGAATTCCCTGCTCCTGATTCAGAAGCTGCACTCTTAATTTCTCGAGGCGCCGTGATCACCTGACGAGCGTGATGGTGATTAAGATACCTGCCAACAAGGTCTTCATCTTGGTGGTGATGGTGGTGATCTTCGTGAGCTTGAGTTCCGAAGACGTGGACGCATCGTCCCGAGAGTTATTCAAAAGCCCGGGTCTGTCAACTTCTCCTCTCTTTACCGATGTGCTGCTGCTGACCAGCTGCATTGATCTCGAGCTCCTTCATCTTTCTTTCCGGGTTTCTTTTCAGGGTGATCGAATTAATCGCACATGAATGTATCAATGAGACGAAGGTGCAAATCAACACGAGAGGCAATGTGATCCAAGCGATTTGGACGGTATAAATGTCGATTGTGTGTGTACGAACTAATTCGACGGTTCATTTGCATCGCAGGAATCACGATCGTGACGGCGGAGGAAGATGTCAAATCCTTCGAGGTGAGAAGTGGGCCTGGAAACTTGTAGGACTTTTGAGTCGGTAGTAATTTTACCGTATTACAGTCTATGATTGCATATACGCATAGCCGAATGCTTCTACACACAACTAGTCACGAATTGTGATTGGCCCGGCCAAGAGAGAGTGAGAGAGAGAGCAAGACGATATCTCTGTTCTCTTTCTGCGATGACTGATTTCTGTTAAAATAATCTGTCGATTTGCAACTTCAGATGTCTGAACTTCCGACGACTTTCAAGCCAGGCGATCTCAAGTCTAGACATCAAGAGTTTCGTCGAAGACACAAGAGGCCTCTGAAGGGAGAACGGTCTACTCTGGGCAGACTGCTTGCTCCTGAAGACAGCACGGAACCGCCGTCTGATGGCCCTGACTCAGGGGCCATCAGAAAAGAAACAGAGTATTCTGGACCCTGAAGGAACAAGCTCATGGACCCTCCGGGGTCCTGAGGGCCCATGAGTGCTAGCTTTTCTTGTGCCGGGAGAGAATTAGTCCAATCATTTATCGAATATAAATAGACAACACCCACCTCATGATACATACGTATTAATATTCACGATAGAATACGATCAGACTACAGCAAATATATGCTTTCGTATTCTACAAAAAAAATTCACAGAATTGTGCACGTGACAAAAGCTCTCGTGACGTAAATACTCCGCTGATTCTACTACCGATGTGATTACATCAACTTGAATATGCTGTTCATCGAGTCCCTACTCATTCTTAGCTATGTGTCTAGCGTCCATCATCTTTGCAAGTCGATAATTGCAGTGCTTCTGCAAGACATCCCCGTCACAGCTGATGATTACAATTCTTTGTTCCGTGGTTACTATATTTCATGCATCTTATGTTATGTTGTGATTCTCATCAAGTACATTTTTTTCTGTGCAAGTCGGTTTGAAAATCTATTCTTATTTCTACCTTAAGAATTGGTTCCTTCCTAGTTTTAATCAACTTAATCATACACATTAATATCTACACGATAGGAATTACACAAGCTTTATATTGTTTGCACATGTTGGTTTCTATGCATACTCATCTTTTTCCTGTAAACATAAGTATGCTTTTCACTGATTTTTCTAAATTTTCACTATATACCATTGAATTCGTAATGATTATATCTGTCAACAATGTCTTATCTGAATAATTGAAACAATGAACATGTACACCGTATGCAAACGTAGGAGCTTGCTCCTAAATTTACACAGGTTATTGAACAACAATTTATAATCAACTAATTAGTAAGACAAGTTTATTTTATAAGATTCTAGAACGTTATCTTAGAACTATAGATGGTAGCGCTATTAAGCTGACACACATATTGTAAGAATTACAAACTTCTTTCGTACTGCAACAATTACAGCTTGGTGTTTACGATGTGTCTAATAAGGGATTTATTTTCGTTCAGAAACAAAGATCGGAACGACGAACATTAAATCACGAATACCAAATCACAAATATTCAACATTTCAAGATAAAACTGTAAGAGATAAGCATTTGGAATTTGAAATCACGTTAGGGTTATGTATATATACCAGGACAGAAGACAACCTGAAACCGAGAGCACTAAGAGCACTTACGATACCGTAATTTTGAATGCCTAAACAATATATATAAAAAAAATGATCTTCTCAGGAAGAACAATGACCATGGACATACATCATGAACCGGGACCGAGGTCCGTTAGCTTGATATCTGGAATGTGCAAGGCCCTCAGAGGAGGCTGAATTCAGGATTCGAAGCTGTGCATCGCTTTATTCAGGGCAGGGGCGGAATGCAGGAGAGCAATTGAAGTCTACAACCGAACACCATTCATTTCCTGGACGCAAGTTATGGAAGTAGAAGGATTCTCCTGTAAGCGAGGCTCACCGCGAGCTGTCCGATCAAACGGAATAGAGGCTCATGGTTAAGTTAAGGTAGCTCACACCCATTCCATGAACGTTACTTGAGTCTGGGAGTGCATGCCAAGACTCGAGGTGAATGAAAGAGGTGGCTATGTGGCTTTCCCCACTTTTGTAATCAAACATCTCACCTCTCAGCAACTTCGAGGAGTGGGGCCACTGATGAAACAGCTGCTTTCAAAGTGGGTAAACTCAAGATGTAGATCAAACAAGCAGGAAGAGAAGAGAAGAGAAGCATTCATGTGCTAAGACTACCTTGACAAGCTAGTCCATGAGGAGGCTAAGTAGGATGATGTCCTTCATACATTCCTTTATAAGTCTCGCCAGGCTACTTTACAAAAAGTGAACAAAACTGGGAATTGCTCAACAAGCATGAGTGAACCTTAAACCGAGTTGAGTCCCATCGGGTTCTCAGTAAATGATATGGTACAGAAAAATTCTCGAACTAGATGCGATCCGTTCAATTGGTGTTGGCAAGAGAAGGAAGAATTTCCGCAACTAGACTTTTGAGTTTGTCTTTCGGCAGTGCACCTTCTCTTCGGCTGCCGGGAACTTCTTGTCCGTTCACAAACAGCATTATTGTCGGCAGGCCATAAACCTTGTACTTCTCCTTCAAAGCCTCGTTGGGATCGGTTTCGATTTTCACACATTTCAACTTTCCTTCGTATTCCTGTGCACAGGGCAACGAACTTGATCAGCTCCTCGTCTTTGCAGACTCCGAGAGGCGTTCATACGAAACGTGTGAACATGAAGGCCACAGGCCTTCATGAATGCAGATTACGACGTCAGGTCACAATCAGATGTCTATGTTCCCAGCATGGCCCGAGGAACGCAACACGAGAATAAAGCATACCAGTCAAGAAATGGTCGCCTCTCCGTCTATTGCGTTTTCAGAAGTTATCTCTAGCTCCACTAGAGAAGAAGTCAACCCGCACTGTGGCATTCAGGGTCAAGGTTTGTGCGGCAATTTGATTGAACACACATCTTACAACTTCTACAAGCATGCGGCTCTCATGCTGATCCTACATCACACCACAACATCAATCCCACATGATCTGTCTCTGTGTGTCCCTCTGTGTAAGGTTTGTCTGCGGGAGATGCGGCAGAATGATCAATTACACCCCAATCAATCATCGACCAATGTCCTCCTCGCCTAGACACCAATGCACTTCACGTCTTGCTGCTTCAGCTATATTCTTCGAACTTTAAATCCATCTCCCAAGTTCTCAATTCAGCTGAAAAACGTGCTTTCTGAAGTTACCAAGAGATACAAGGACGGATCCCTTCGTCCAGGAAAGGGATGGTGTACAGATGAGCTGAGGAAATCCCAGTGTGAGCTGAAGAAAAGGCAATCCGCAGGACGTGCGTTCTTTCTCTAAACTGACACCTATCTGATCCTCTTCGAAGGTATATCCTGCGGGGCTCCTAATTTCTCACTTGGCATGCGACCCATTTCGTGTGGACATCGACGTTCAGTTTCACTCACTCTCTGCTCGCACTGAAGATGCAAAATGTAGCATCCTTCTCCAAACTTTCATGCGGCCTCCTCTAGAATGTACAGAATCAGGTCCCAAATGCGACTATTTTTCTTTCGCTTTCGCCATTGATGAACTGGCGACGAAAGGAAAATATTGCAGGAAAGATTGGCTTATGCGTTTTGAGCTCTGCCTACCCTAATCAAAGTAGGCGCATGCTGCGCTTTCGGTCAAGAAAAATCTACAGCGAAGAAGAAGGTAAATTTTGGCTATCTGATTTCGGTGAAGTTGAAATTTCAGGTCCCCATCCCGGTGCTTGAGCTTAAGGCATACGCAAAACTTAGATTGTCCGAGAAAGAGCTTCTAATGACAAAGAGTGATGAATGAAGCCATCCAAGACGAAGTTCAAGCTCAACTGTCCGAAATTTGATCCCTAAATCGAAAGAGTGGACGAGCAATCTACTGAAAAACCGTTGTGCAACGAAGTTCCACGAGGAAGAAGGAAGAGAAAAACAACAAGCGTCCTTACCTGAGCAGCCCAGTCCATGACCATACTCATGAGCCTGCAAGGTCCACACCAGGTAGCCCAGTATTCAACGAGCACGGGAATGTTGGATTTGAGAACCTCCTCTTCGAAATCAGCCTCGTTAACAGTCAATGCCTTGAGCGCGGCGACGGGTGCCTGCCATCGGCGTTGCCTGCCACTCACCCCCGATACACAATTCCGCCTCTGCTGCCATCGCATCGCCTTCACGTGAAAATCCGGGACCCGATTCACCAACCCCACGACGGGCACCAAGCTCTGGCCCCCATTGCTCGCCGTCACCGCCTTCCTCGCTCCCAAATTCGAACCTGCAGGAGCCGCTGCCACCGCAGCGCCCAACCCACAGATCGCCGCATGGGCCATCCTCCCGTCCCTCCCTCCCTCTCTCAGCACAAAAACTCAATTCAATCCCGTTACTCTCAATCTCTCAGTCTCTCGATCTCTCGATGCCTCTACCTCCCTCGCTCTGTCCGTTCCGAGCACCTTTCGTTCGAGGCGAGCGAGAGAGCCGAAGAAGCGAAGAATGGGTCGTCGACAAATCGCAGTCGCGAGCCACTAGATTCCGAGCCGGGGCATGATCCCTGACAAGAATCGAGCTCGGCTAAGCGCAGAAAAGGCAGGCAAGAAAGGCGAGGCCCAAGCAAGCGCAGGCCAAGCAAGGCCAACCATTCCGCTTGGCGCTGAGGATGATATTGGCTACCCCCTCGCCTCGAACCCCAGCCCCGTCCAGCCCCACAAGCCCTGGCCCTGCCCCACCCTGCCCCCGCCCAGCCAGTCATATAGGCCCCGAGCAGCCCGACACACACGAACGCTCGATCCGCTGCCCCTCTATCTACCGGTCGGTCGGGGGGTCGAGCCAGGCAGGCTCGGTGAAGTGGCTGGCTCATCTGCAAGCGACAAACGCTGCCTCCGGGAGCGGGGCTACGGGATAGACGGCCAGCGAAGACGAAGCGCGAGGAAGGACGAGCAAGGAAGGGGAAGCGTTTTGGGTTTGCGGTTGGGGTTCGGGTTCGGGGTTCGGGGTTCGGCGTCGGGGTTTAAGCTTAGCTATCCGTCCACCACGGAATCGTGTGACACTTGGCCGCCTTCCAACTCAGCCTGCGGCTGCCGAGCTGTAGATAGGGGAATGGAATTTACGGCACAGTAGGCGACCGGGGCGAGCATTATCGGAAGGGGATCGGAAGACGCCAAGGCCGAAGGTGTGGCGGTCAGACGCTCTGACCGCCGGGCAGGCGTGCCGCGATTGATCCCACGAACCTGCGGATATGTTGGCATGACGTCGCCTACTTTGGAACGCAGGAACGACTCGCAATGCGTTCAAATTCCTTTCCCAGGCCGGGTTTTAGCGTCGGAACCGAACCAAGGCCATGATCCATAACTTTCCGCATGATGCATCATGATCATCATCCGGTCTGGATCTACCCCCTGCCGCGGGAATGTCGCCCCTCTTGCCGGGAGCGGAGGAAGGAAGGGAGGGGGCACGGAGGGGGCTCCAAAGCTCCGAAGAAGGTTTTCATACGCGAAGTTGAATGTCAGAGTTTAGCACGCTGGGCCTGATTGGAGCCCCGGGGAAATGGCAGCCACATACGCAGTCGCGGAGTCGACACACTGGGGCTGGCGAGGGGGGAAGGGGCTGGAGAGAGGGGCTGGGGAAGCGGAGTGCGAATTCGGTAGTTGGAATGGCGAGAAGTGGATGAGTGTGAAAAGAAGTCATGGTTCGCGAACCGCCACATGGGCAGAGGGTTTCCTCGGGGCTGTGGAGGCGCCACGTGGTGGGATAAAGTGGTCGTTCTCTCGAGCCGCTTGCGCTTTGCTCCTGGAGCGCGGGGGCGAGCGGGCACGGGAAGGCCCGCGAAGGGACCGGATCATGGACAAGGACGACGAGGACGACGACGGGAGAATCCGCAGGGCCAAGATGCAGCGCGGGGCAGCGTCGTCATGGGGCTGACATGGGGGAAAGGCAAAGGCGAGTAAATCAATTCCAGTGATCCGCTCATCATCCCACCCCCAGCCCCAGCCCCAGCCCCGAGACTTGGCCCCGAGCCCTCCAACTCTCTCACTGGCCCCAAGCCCCGGCTCTCTCTCTCGTCTCGCGTGGCCTCGTTCGCTTTGCTGCAGCTCTCGCTCGAGGCATGAGCTGAATTGCCTCCTGAGCCCCCAGCGCCATGAACGTGGCCACTGCTCCCGCGAGTAGAAGTGCGCACTAGACATCGCGAGCGGGGACAGAAATGCTGCTGCATCTCGCCGAGAGGGCAGGACGGGACGAGGAGGAGGAGTGACGCTTGCCCCCGCATTGCGCCATCGGACGGAGGTAGGGAGGGAGGGAGGGAGGAGGGAGGGCCAGGGAGGAGTGCGAGGGGGCACGGACAGGGCAGCGGAAGCGGGCGAGCGAGGAGGGAGGGATGTCGGCATTGGGGGCAGCGACCCTCGTAACGCCAGGAGCCTCGTGGACTGCCACCTTCAGCAGCAGCCCCAGCCCCAGCCCCAGCCCCGACTGCTGCAAGTGCGCGGCAAGCCCATCATCGTCGTCGTCGTCGTGCGCCGGGCGGAAGAGCGCTCTGAGGAATCCCAACGCCTCGCAGCTCTCGGTCTTGTACAATCCGAGGCGCCGGAATTTGAAGCAGCCCCCGCGCCAATCCGTGATCGTCACCGCTTCCGCGGCCGGCGAGGACGATGCCTCCTCGAGCGGCGCCGATGAAGCCCCGGAAATGGAGTCGTCTAGCGGCGGGGTTCGGGTCATCACTACCACCCAATCCCCGACCCCGACCGTAACCCCAACCCCAAGCACCAGCACTAGCACTAGCACTAGCACCAGCACCAGCGAGGAGATTTCCATTCCGACCTCGGCCTCGGCCTCGACCCCGACCCCGACCCCGACCCCGACGGCATCCGCGACCTCGAGCACGGACAGCGAAATCGTCGGGGCCAGTGGACAGCGATCGAAGAATCAGGCGAAGAGCAGCACGAGCAAGAAGCAGCTGAGGCTGGAGGACGTGAACCCCGTGGATTTAGGGCGCAAGGCGAGGCAGCTGGTGGACGAGAAGAACATCACGCTGGACGATGTGAATCCTGTGGGTTTGGGGCGCAAGGCCAGGCAGCTGTACGACGATGTGTGGAAGCGCCTGACGGAGTTGGGACAGTTGACGCGCTCTTATGATGATGATTTCGAGCAGGTGCTGGTCGGCGGACCCATGTGTGATTTCACCACCCCCAATGCCGAACTCACCACCGTTCTCGTTGCCGGAGCTACTGGCCGTGTCGGACGCATTCTGATCCGTAAGCTCCAGATTCGTGGCTACAAAGTCAAGGTGTGTGTTCAGCCATCGCTCCTCGGTCAATTCCCTGCACTCTCTTCTCCGGTGTCGGCCATCACATTGTGGGTGGGAATTTCTGTGTACCGAGTGGTTGTCAAGAACCGGGATTTCCAACTTGAATTGTAACGAACTCAATTTGGAAGAGGCTTTTGCAATTTGGCGAAGGATACCCTCTCCTCGTTTATATTTTACCTGTAATCAGAATTGTAGTCTCTCGGGGCACCTGCGAATTATATTAGTTTGTTTCGTGTGTCAACAATCACTCGTCGTTCTGATATATTTCTTCAGCATCGCTCAAGCAGTCACTCCAGAATCTACCATGGATGAAAAGTTCCTTACATCGGCTGGCCAGGTGCTGGATATGATCTTATTGCGCGGTGTCAGTCAGGGTAGAGTATCTGGAGTCAGCTCATGCTGTTGTTGCTTTTCTTCTCAATCAATTGTCGTCTGAAATAGGCTTTGGTGCGCAATGACGACCCGGCCACTTTGGAGATGCTCCCGAGGTCCGTGCAAATCGTCGTCGGTGATCTCGGTGATCCTGAATCGTTGAAAGCCGCCGTAGAGGGATGTAACAAGATTATATGCTGCGCCACTGCCCGCTCAGATATCACTGGAGACTTACTTCGTGTGGATCATAAGGGTGTGTACAATTTGTCGAAAACATTTCAGGTAAGCGTTTTACACCTTGACCTTGAACTTTGTTAATCGATTGTCGACTGCCGATTGTAGATTCTTTGTGTTCGTCTTACCCTTGTCATCTTAAAAGGCATATCTCGATGGAAAATTAGGATATTACCTTCCTATCTTTTACCTCATCTCCTTCTTTGTACGTGTGGCCATCTGCAGTACTGAGATATCGTGCTTTCCAACCGCTTCTTTGATAAATTGAACCGAGTGAATGCTAACCCACTGCTCTGTAATCAGGATTACAATCACAAGTTGGCTCAAACTCGTGCCGGGAGAAGTAGTAAGAGCAAACTACAGATTGCGAAGTTCAGTCAAGGCTCTTCTTTGGAAGGGTGGGAACTCCGTGAAGGCACTTATTTCGTTGACGATGTGTCTGTCAAGTATGATGGGGGCATGGATGCCCAGCTTGAGGTAGCGGAGGACGGGAATGCAGTATTTTCAGGTCTTAAACCCACTGAGCAAAACAGTTTCATGTTTGTGCAATTGTCATCGGCTTCCTACTTCATCCTTGAGTCATTCACGAAGATAAAGAACGTCGCAATGCTTCAAACCTTTGTGATGGAAATTGTACCATGCGGATGGATGAACATGTTTACAGCGACATCCCAATTTCTTGAGTGACTATGAAAATTTTGGCATAAACAAAGTGAACAATCTCTTCTGCAGGTTACGTCTTCACTCGCGGAGGATATGTGGAGCTGGTGAAGAAAATGGAGTTGCCACCGGGCCTTACTCTCGACAGGTTCGTTTTTCCCACACACACGATCGTGATCATGTCGTGGGATCTAGACTTTTGAGCCTGTTTTTGTTTGCTGGTGAGACTTAACGTAGCTACAGCAGAAGTGACCAAGTGACTTTGGCATGTATTCCTGCAGATACGAGGGTCTTCTGTTATCTGTTTGCGGTGATGGCAAGAGCTACACTTTATTGCTCGAGACATGCGATCCAGAGAACAATTCTGCTCGCAAGCAGTACTTTGCTCGTATCTCCACTCGCTTAGGCTACAGCAGGGTATGAAATCTCTACCGAATCCTGATTGCTGCGTCCATAGAGCTCTACAGAAGTGATTTATAGGAAAGTCAATCTTAGCTTCTTCTACATTTCCAATTCTGACATCGGAGTTTTGCAGATACGGATACCATTCTCGACCTTCCGACCCATGAAACAGGAAGATCCACCCTTGGATCCCTTTTTGGTGGACTCGTTAGCCATTAGATTTGAACCAAGACGTCAGGTGAGCATCTAACCAGCTCAAAAGAGGTGCATATCAAGCTTCTATGACTGCCCAGCGATTTATACTGCTTCTACAAACCCCCAACACTCTCTCATCACTAGAATGACTTCGCTTTCCTATCATGTGCAGAAAACTCCGGCTGTGCGTCCCGATGGTGCTGACCCTCGCGATCAGACCAGCTTCAGATTAACTCTTGATTATATAAAAGCCTTACCCGTGAGTACCTTTAATCATTCTTCTCTTCCAATTATCTGATAACTGTGTATTCATTTCTAGGTGCCTTATGGTTCCCCAGGGTCATGTTTCAGGTCTTAACTGTCGAGACCATTTTACCGCAACAGATAAATTGAAATGGTGGTTCTGAATCTCTGGACTTGTATTGTAGGGTGGACAAGAAACGGATTTCATCTTAGTGTCATGCGCGGGCGAAGGAGTCGACCCGTCGAAGCGAGATAAACTTGTTAGAGCCAAGCAAGTAAGAATCGAGGCACCTTGCAGATTTCTAAGTTTAGTCACCTAGGTATGTGTGTTTGAAGTCTATTCTCGTGTAAATACCTCTAGCTTCTGGAGACTGATAAACTGGTCGTCGCTGTGATGTAATTCAGGCTGGAGAGGGAGCACTCAGAAATTCCGGTCTTGGGTACACAATTATCAGACCAGGACCCCTTCAGGTGCATATCCGGCTACATGTGTAACTCCTCATTTAGCCCTCAATATTTTGTAGTCATTGGTCCTTCGTACACTAGTTTAGAATCACGATATTAAGGTGACCGTTTGCTTAACAGGAAGAACCAGGCGGACAACGTGCTCTAGTATTTGACCAAGGCGATCGTATCAGTCAGGTATTATTCACTTCTGCTCGTCTACAGTCCATTCCAATTTTCATGATTGTTTTTTGTGAAACTGCTCTCATTTATCCTCGTTATTTTCGCAAACTTTTACTTGGCATGTGGTGCAGGGAATTAGCTGTGCAGATGTCGCAGACGTGTGTGTCAAAGCGCTGCACAACCCTACCGCTCGCAACAAGAGCTTTGATGTGAGTATTTCTGGAAGAAACAACAAAATAAACTGTCAGATTTATTTAAGCTGAACTTGTTTCTAAAACTTGATACATTACTATTACTTTTTGTGGTTGGTACCAGAGTGATGTTCAATTTCGACATTAAGGTTGCAAATCTGACTTCAATTATCAATGCTGTAGGTATGTTACGAATACACCATGGAGAAAGGACAAGGGCTTTATGAGCTCGTAAGTATATCCTCACACGTCTTGAAATCTTTCAAACAGTCGAAAGTTTTTTTCCTGCAGCTCAAGTTGACTATAGCTTGTGGTTTTGACTGTAATTCGTGTTTTCTCCAATTCAGGTGGCCCATCTCCCAGATAAATCAAACAATTATTTGACACCAGCTTTGGCTGTTCTAGAGAAAAACACCTGAGCCAGTACTTGTACTTTTGCAAACCTCAGAAGCACGTAGGCAGTTAGCTCTTGTTGAGAAGAACCATGTATTTTCGCTCCCTCGAAGAGTGGCAGAGAGCCAGATCACCAAGGCGAGGGACAGTGTAGTTTACTGTTGAGTATGTACCAAAGGCTTCTTCAATTTCGAGAGCCTGTGATTTATTGTGTCACAACCCAAAGGGAGTCTTGTACATTGAAGCGGTTTGTCATTATAGAGGAAAAGTTCAGATAGTGACCTTAATTTGCCTAACTTTGTAACCATGCCAAATAATACAAAATGTAACGTTTCTACTATTGAATCTGTTCTGTTCTAAGAGTTGAGCTTACGATAAATGTGATCATCTCGGTGCCCTCTTGCATCTTTCGGTGGGACTTTCAGTAATAGAAATATGAAACTCTTCACATTTCCCTCAAAAGCCAATTGACACATTTGTGAACTGAAGGTCTCTTGCAGTATTGAAGCAGATAGAAGTCTTGAATTGCAAATGTGCATCAATGAGCACCACTTCCGCTTTATGCTCAATCAAGCACCTTCACAAAAACTTTTCAACACCCCTTCTCTTGCCCGACGAAAATACATAGTGTATTTCATTTCGATCTAATCCGGAATCCTGCAGGTACCTGGAGTAGAAAATTGGGGAATGGTGAATTTGGGCAGATTTATCACATCGTAAGTATATGAACATACTCACGTATGTTCATTTACTTGAAGGAAAAAGACTTGCAAGTTTCCTTGCACAAATCTTATTTTATACAGTGTCCATTCATGAGTACCGTTTACATTTTTGTAACACTGAAGACAGACGCTTTCATTCAACTGTCAAACTTAACACTTATTCAATCAGTAAGGTACATAGTAGATGCCCTTGATGAGGATACCCGAATAATTTCACTGCAATCACTCAGGTACATGGAAGATGCCCTTGATGGGGATACTCGAATAATTTCACTGGACCTCTCTGTAAACTATCGAGTTCATTTAAGCTACTGACTGTGCCGAAAAACATTCTTGTCGCTACCATGGAGACAGAATCTAGCCTCCAATATCCTAGAAAGGAATTAGTCTTCATCATCGATCCTGCAAAATATCAGAAGCTTCAATCATACATGTCTACAAAAATCATAATGGGTGTAAACTCAGACGTCAATCACGCATGCAATTGGACACGTGTGTAATTGACAACAAAGATAGGCGACGTTACAGTAATATTACCTCTGCACTAAGATATTCAACAGCCAGTGCGACGTCTCCGTTGGATGCAGCCAGAGCATGAACCGCCTTCGACTGAACGCGAAGATAGAAAACCAGAAATAGAGCATTCATACATTAGAAGAAACTTCTCTCAACCGTACTCAATCGAATTCTTGGCAAAATATTGTACTTAAAACAACCCTGCATCCCCACCCTCTATGATGAAAGTTTGTTTAGTAAGAGAAATAACATCACAAACTGAATTCCAAGAAATAAAAGTACAAAGAATTGATTGGAAGACCTGATCAAATCCCATAGACACAAGGCTTTGAACGTCGTGGTCTTGACGTCCGATCTGCATCACACATACAGGGAAGCGGCATCAGATCCTTGTTCGCTTTCAGTGCAGACTGTTCACGGATTTCAACTGTCAATATTCCAGATCGCAAGAAGAGCAAGATGGGCAAACACTCAAGAAGTAACCATCATGTCGTTACGTTTGGACGAAACTTCTATCATTGTTTTAGGTCATGGTCTTAAGGCTACAACAGGCACATACGAATGAATACAGCTTAACGAGAAGTACAGAACTAAGTTGATGTTTGTTCTGTCCATCGTTAGCTATAGGTCTTGTAAGAACAGGTCACCCACCTGCTGTGGTACTTGATAGCGAGGTAGTGATGGTGTTGTTGCTGTTGTTGTTGATGATGGTGTTGAGGTCTGAAGATCTCCAGCTTGCCTACACCACATGCAGATTCATGCTCAGGAACATGGACAAACTTCCGATCATATGCAAGAGAGATAGTTTAATATGCGCTAACATCCCTGACATAGTTAGAAGTTCATGATATCGGCAAATATTCCATACCTATTGGGTGGTGAAGATGATCTCAATGGTTGCATCTCAGCTTCTCCAGAATCTGATCTATCTCTGTTGAGAAGTCTAGATTGAGCAAATGCTTGATGAGCACTCCTGCCCTCGGGGCTGAGTAGTCTCGGAGGCGCACCAACGACAGCGCCTAAAGTTCGACCTCTTCCAGGAAATCTCTGATCATCGGAATGACAATTATTAGAGACAGAGATTTTCATGCTCGACCAATTGGTTCTGCAAGCATGGCGTCCACTCATGTTAAGGAGATGGAGGACCTGGAGCTCAATACGAAATCGATGACCAGGGCCATCGTTAACGACCAGAGCATTACGCACCTCGTCTGGAGCTGTTCCTGTACGGGGTGTCTCGCGTCTAGGTATCATCGTTTGCAATCCACTCCACAGACTTGTGAAAGTTTGGCTGCCTCCACTAGGAGGAGCGACAAAAAGGTATAAATGTTAGTATTGATAGCATCCATACATAATCACTATAGCTAACCGACACAAAAGAATACCAGGAAATATAAGAGAACGGAAAAAATCTGCATCAGACGAGGAGCTACTGTTCCGTTTAACAGCAACCTAAAAAATACCTTGTGTTAGAGACTGATGGGAGGGTGGCGGGAACAGCACTCCCACCGACGATAAAGCCAGGTCTTCGAACACAAAAGCCCTATTTATACAGATAAACAGAACTCCAACCGCGTGAACGAGAGTTCAAGTGCAAGACCTCTACGAATGCAACCTTACCCTTTCACTGTATGAAAAATTAAAGAAATTCAAAGTGATCCCATCTCCACATACAGAGACTTTTTTAGGTGATAACAAAGAAGAAAAGAAACGCAATTCAATTTATGAAACTGCCTAGGAGGTCCAGAAGACTGCTTGGCTTAGGCGGTCTTTGGACAAATTGAGCATGACAACAACGTTCCAGAATTCAGATGAAGACGTATGGTTTCTTACAAGGACAGAACAGCTTTCCACGACCGAGTAGGCTGAAGGGGCCAGCATGAACATATTGAACCAGCCAAATGTATCTGGGAAAAAAAACAGATATATTAGAAGAGAGAACAGGATCTACTCCCGTTTACACCTTCCAAATAATATCTACTTTTTTACTGAGCGGATCACAGACCCAGGAATTGCTCAAGTGAAGCATAACACATTTCCTCAGTAAGGACTGTAATTCCGTCATAGCCCGGATGTCTGTCGACCTGCACTGCTAAACGTTCATCATGACTGATACACGATACGAAGGATTTGAAATGATATTGATTGCTCTTACATGCGAATCCAGATAAAATGCCACTCAAATGCCCCAGTAGCGACACACTTGGCATCAGCAACTGAAAGAGAAACAGCAAAGCCCAGGGATACCTGCACCCAGTGGTCCAGTCTATTAAACTTGCGGAGAACAAGTCATCAGGAAGTCAAATCATGATCCATAAGAACTTTCAGTACGGCAATCAAGTCAAAGTCTATTTGCTATCATATACCTCACATACATGACTTCTAGCAACTGAATCTCTATAAAGTTAACTACAGAAGCAATGGCAACGTTATGAACCGTTGTACGTGTGCTTTCAAGCTCACCTATAAAATAGAAATGATGAGTAATGAAGGTTTCAGCCGCTTACATTTTTGCGGGAACAGTGAAGAAGCCAAAAATGCTGCAAAGAATGGCACGGCGAATACTTTAATTAGAGGTGGCAAGCCACAGCAGCATAGAGGAAAGAATACTCCTCTGCACAAGGTTTTGAAACAGGAAAACGATATGCGCTTAAAGCTCATCTTGAGGATGAGATGAGGCTCCAATGGCTGTGGAGTGATTAGCAGCGTGAACCTACGAGCCAATACGTGTCCAAGTACTCCAAACAACAGGCAGGTTGTCTAATGCTTAAAGATTAGGGTTCCTCTGATCAAATTCTTCTGGAGTAAATCATCTCATACAAACAGAATAAAGCGAAATCCTTGAGTACGACTATCACCTCCGATTTTGAGTTCCACTGAGACTGGTCTCGATGACGATGAGGGCAAAAATGACCCCTGAAAACCCGATTCCACACTCGACAGATAGATCAGGATAAATATAAACCGGGTTGTGTGCGGCCAGGTATGCAAGTCCGATGTGGATAACGCCATTGCTCGTAGCTAGAAGGAAAATGATGTGAAGAAACCGTACGGATCCCATTATTCGCTCGAGTCCACTACCGATGGGCACCAAGGCAAGCATATTGAAGACGACATGAAATATCGAAGCATGGAAAACCACTGACGTGTACAGCCTGTACACTGCAACATTACATCACAAATCCAACATATAAGCATCAGCCGCATTTAGATCTGAGCTTGATTGAAACCTGAAGCTCAAAATAACTTTATTTTAGGCAGATAATATACATGTGTCCTGTCGAACGTAAGATTTGACGAACAGATTGACCGGTACTTAAAGTAGAACTGAACAGTTAGCTCAACCAATATATCTGTTCACACAGCATGGCTTATTGACACTAACAGAAAGCTTTAGACAATCTTGCAGAAATATAAACAATGTATATTGTCTGAATTCCTATTCAAGCTTGGCCTCATCTCACCACGAAAACTTTGAAGTGGTGAACGTATTCCTGTGTTTGTTGTATAACTGAAATGAGCCAAGAGTTGTCCTCCTCATCTCGTGTAACTGAAAAACTATTCTTGGAGTTCCCAAAAACAATGTGAAAAAAATGAATCTGGGAATGAAAAAAATTGTACCTTGAAATCGTGCTACAACCTGGTAGGGTAGCAGGCATACTTGGTAAAAAGAGTCAAATCCAAGAAAGAGTTCGACGACATAAATGGCGGAGCATATGGCCACCAGAAGCGCTGTGACAAAAGGAACTCCTGCCCACCATTGGCTTGCCCTTGTAGTCAGGCTCGCCTGACAATCAAGATCAATTGAAAGTTGGTAAGTGTTCTTGTAAGTATTTCACAGGCACAGATGGCAACTGGTACTCGAAATTATGAAGCTTCATTTTTTTAGAATCTTAAGCCTTTTCTGTAATTTGACGCAGAATAAAAATATTTGCCAAATTATTTGTTAATTCCAATAAATAACCCTGACAAAATACTACTAACTGGCATAAAACAAGAAGCATTGGCAGCAATGGCAGCAAATCAGATGTCAAAACTCTTGTGTCAGGATCAAAATACCTCGGTTACAATGTTAGAGTTCCTCATGTCCATCCGTTGGTGGGCACCGAATCCAAAGCCTCCAGCTTGCTCTACCTGGCCACTCTCTCTCCGACTCCTGTCAGCTCTCTCCAGCCACCATGATAGCAAATCAATCAATCCAATGATCAGATCTCCCTCCTCCTTTTCATCCTTCTCAAGTCCAACAACCTGCTCCGCATCAGAGGTTCAACCGTGCAAAAAATTGCGCCCTTTCACAATCCAATTTCAATTTCAATTTGCCAAATCCCGCCACATCCAAAACTCGTCAACCCCAACTCTCCTACTGCGGCTGCTGTCAGGTCGAACCCCGTCCGCGACACATCAAATCAACTCACGGAAAATCCTCGCAATTCCTCCCACCTGCACCTCCTCTTATCTTTCCTCTGTGCGCACAAATTCCTCTGCTGATCCTCGATTCTCTGGCATTGTGGCAGGCCTTCTTTGCAGGACAGACTCCTCGAGGTTCAACGACGACGGTGACAAGGATCGTTCGTTCGCCTTTTCCTCGTACAAAGAAGGAAAACGACAAACTCTCATTTGTCTCTCTCGTGCTCTTCTTTCCGTACGGCGCGTGTCCGAACCACGGTGGGAGGCTGAGTTGCTTCCTACCACGGTCGCAGTTGTGGTCGGCCTGAGCAGTCGAACCACGTCCAAGATGCTGCCGTAACGTAATGTACTGTTCCGAACCGGAGCCCGACACTTCCCTGTCGACGGGAAGTGCAGTTCCGCGTGAACGTGAGTCGCTTCACGGAGTGTGCAGGAAGGGAGCCGGTCTGAGGTCGAAGGCTGGATTTTTTAAGGGCCCACGTTCGTACGCTTGACGTGCATTAACTGTGACCCACTCTTGTTCCAACTGCACGTACAAATTTCAGACAATGTGACATTGTCTGAAATTTGTACGTAGAAGACGTTGTCAATGTTTTCTAAGTTTGTAACTTTAGAGATTCTGATACACGTGTATTGCTGGTCCAAATATTTCTTTGAGATTTTTATTATGCATTGATAAAAACTTCCATGTTTATCCCTCTAGAATTTACATGAATGGACATGGTACCGAGTAATTTTTACTTTCTTTTCTGAGTGGTGAAGATATAACAGAAGAAAATTTTTCATGCATCTTCTTCAACTTTATATACACATGTAACATATTATTTCTCACGACCCAGGGGTGCGTGCTAGAGTTCAAGGCAGACCCAGTCACTTCTTTTTCATAACGATTAAGTATACAGGGTAATGAGTTTTGAGGAGAGTTTGGGATAGTGATTTGAGTTAGGATTTGGTTACAAAAAGGAAGACTGTAATACAAATTTTTATTTTTCATTTTCACATCTGCATTATATCTTCCATATTTTGTCGGAACCAAGTTTCTATAGTATGTTATATTTCTCACTTTTAATTGTGATTGGTATGGGTAGTGATTGTACATATAATTTTTCATGATATTTTATTGATCTTTACTTTTACTAATTTTTTTGCTAAGAATGATGTTTAAAATATATATAATTGAAATTTATAATTATTTATTTATTTATTTCTATTCATTCAGCATAATCATGATATTGTTATCATCCATTGATGAAAGTGTATTGAGTAACTGGATTTTCCTCCATTTGATTGCAATATATACTACGGTTCGTACAAGTAACAGAGCAGATACGATTTATAATCCGCTCTGTTACAACTATTTTGACACATCGAAAACACTGCTGAGGCAACAATCACTGCAGAAAGCTGCTCTTCAGCGAAACATACTGTATGCACACATATAATGTCAAATGTCCACAATGAGAGAACTTTTTATGAACATAATATGAAAATTTTCAATTTACAAATCAAAGCTTCCAGTATAATCCATTTACAGTCCCTACTGAAGCGGAGACATCATCCGCTGTTGGAAAAATAATCTTCTAGTTGCATTTTACGTTCAGATTTGAGTTTGAGGGGCTCTGTATGCAGAGTCAGCAGCAGCCTTCCTGTTCTCCAAGTCTGCCTTCGTTTCATGCTTCTCAGCAACATTACTTTGAATTTTCTCGTGCTTGATCCGCTCTGCCTCCGCCTCCTTCTGGTGCTCTCTGGCTTTCGCTTCTTGCTTTCCAGCTTCATCGTGAGCTATCACCTTATCGGTCTGCAGTCACAACAAAAATACTCAGTGAGAATGAAATTGAACTTCACTGGCAAACTCTGCGTAGACAGCTCCAATGAAGATATGAGCTGAAGAGGACTATGAAATTATCCACATTCCATAATATCATGACTCAGACCAACCAGATATCTAAGGATCAGTTTGGAAGCATGATGTGGGAAGTGATCAAATCAGTCCACACAGCCAGCTTCCATGACACTCCACGTCATGATACGAATCAAAGCTTTTCCCCGACTGTACTTAGCCAAGCTAGGAGTATCTCGCCAGTCTAACAGATTCAAGTCACGTCTACTCCACGCAGGGGAACCAACCAAATCCTGCCTCCCTATCAAACACAATACGATCAAGCCTCGGATCCATCTGTCTCCCTCGGTCATGAGCTATGGAACTTTCCACTCACCTTGGCAGTGGCTGAGGCCTTTCCCTTGTCCATCTTCTCCTCGGCCTTGGCACTCACATTCTGGATCTTCTCCTTGGCGGTGGCGGCGGCGTGCTTCATGGCGTCCATGGTGGCGGGGTTGGATCTAAGCGGATCGAAGTCTTGACGTCTAGTTACCCGAGAGTGCAAAGCGTCGAGTGTCACTTACAATCTTGCAATCTGAAATCAGAATTCGCGTACTTCGAGATGGATTTGTGTACTATGAGCGGCGCTGAGAGCCTAATATATAGCATTAGCGTAATAACCGGGTCGGTTATGGGGACGAGGTGTCAATTTTTCCGCGCAGCCAAATGGCGGTCATGCGTGCGTGCTCGCCATAAATTTGGTCTACGTGGACCTGACAAGGAATCGATCCACGTGTCAATGGATTCGCTGGGGAACTCAGGACTGGTGTTGACAACTCGGCGCTTATCACTTGCATTATGGCTCGATTGACACTCTTTCTGTTTGTTCCCATACGTTTCGTTATTTTCCTGTGTCTTCGGGAGCAGGACCCTTTCTCTCTCACTGACATCTGGCGATAGTCACAGTGGCTTCATGTACAAGGTCTCGAATGCCTATTAAAAGGTTTTGTCCAGCGTTTTGGTGTACACTTGTCTCAAGGTGAGTGGCATATTACGCTCCATCTCCGAGCATGAAGGATATGTTTTTCCACCTCAGATGAATTCGTAAATGACGCTCGCATGTTATGAACACCTTGTGAACGGCTTCATGATTCCAACGATGGAAGTAGTGAAACCCCAAAGTGTTCAAATAATCACTTTTTCTACCAACGACATTCTGTTTGTATTGAAATAAAAGCTTATGGATCCGAGATAATATCTCTAAAGCTTCAAGATGGAGAGGTATTCAGAGTACATCACGAGCTTGTTGTGGGTGGAACACAAATGAAAATGGAGGGCTGTTTGGGACGCCGAGGACGGTGCAGTCAAAGAGCGTTGTATTCATATTCTTCATTACATCCCTTCACTCTACCAGTGGAGTACAAATTACTAACCTTGGTCTTTAGACCAAAGCAGCCGCACTATTTAGCTTCCAACGGCATCTGCAAAAGCTTTCTATGTTGGTACCTGAAAACTATGACTGAAGTCGTATATGGGGGATCAATCCCCCTACATGAGAAATAGTCTGCACGCTCATGCAGCACTCTTTACTTGCCCTTTTACTCCTATCTCGTCTTCTTCCAGTACTACATCTCTAAGAATGAACACCTCTCTGAACTCCCGTTTTGATCTATGACAGACAAGGAAAAATGTTTCAGTTGAAGTGCTCAGAACGCAGTACAGTTCTAACCCGTGTATCTCTGCACCAGATCTTATTAACATCAGATAAAACACCGTTTTCTGGATACATTCACGACAATACCCCATATTATATCAGTCTCACAGACAATACCCCATATTATATCAGTCTCACAGACTAGACTAAAGAGGTGAGTGGAACATTCACTTATTTCTGTCGACAACTCTGATCACCTTTCCCATCAGCTTCGTTAGAATCAACTGCTTCTCAAACATAATGGTGCCTTTAAATTGCTCACGTTTTGCCTGAAGTTGAATCGAAGTCCCGAGGTTCTCCGAGAAGTTGATTCACGGCAAACAGACTCTAATTCCATGAGAGATCAGAAATCAGGTCAGCCACTTCTGGAAATATGCAGAAGCAGAAGCAAGGCTTGCGGAAATTGGCATGATAAGACTAAATTTGAAAAACAGACCATGCATGTGTTCATGCAGAGGTTAGTGAAAAAAGCCATAACTCCTTGAAGCTTGAGCGTGTTACTCACTTGCTCTATGTTCCTCACGAGCACACCCATTTTCAGTATGGCCTCAGCTTTGTGGCTGGACCCGTCTTTCTGTTTACTACTTCTTTCGAATATCTTCAGGTGGTGCATTGCAGCCTCATGAGCTTTAAGAATCGCTTGACAGGCTCCGATCTTCTTCAGTGCGGCAGATACTCTCCTCTCGCTAGATGTCAAAATCCAGAGAGCAGATGAAGCATAAGCCCTTGCTTCCAGACTTGAGCTTTCCAGGGACTGAACCAGAAGATGAAGGGTGCGTTCATTGCATAGGAAGAAGAAACGCGTCTCTCCACAGAAGGCCAAGTTTCTCAACAAGAACAAAGCGGAACTGCTAGTTGGAATATATTGACTTTGTTGTACGCTGTCCAGAACCTGCATTCCAGAACATTTTAATTATCAAGGAATGATACCACAAGCAAGACTCAGTACATCCGGTTTCCCAGCGGAAATTCAGTTCTCATGGATGTCATGGTTAACATGTTCACTAGCTCTATCTGTCCAACAAAGACCACAAGCTTATGGTTGCTGTGAGTCAGCAGGCAGAATCATTATTGAGCTGATGTAAACATCAGCTCAATAATGTTTGTAAATCATCATAGGAGATGAAGAATGCCGACCCGGGCTTAGCTCCTATTGTCCTCACGCAGCTCATGTCTACAATATGCCTATTAAAGATTTGTATCGGCCGCTTGAGATTGCCGTCCCATCCTACTTAACTTGAATGAGTACAATCTGTAAACGTGTTCGAGGAGGCGTACCAAGTCAAGCATGCTACCGTCAGGAAGTCCCTTCAAGAACATCTTCTGTCCATTCGGAAAAGCTGAAAGGTTTATAAATAACTGAAGCATCAAGTGTTGACGCATGACATCATTTGATCTGACGTAACCTCGGAACAGCTGTAGACAGTCCGAGATGTACTGCTTCCGCATGAATATTGCCCTGGGTTCTGCCAACATTACCAAGTTTTGCAGGAGGCCAATGGATGTCGTATAGGATATCTGGTCTAATGGTAAATGGTAGAGCATGTTTGTTACATGATCCATCAAGGTTCCACCTTTCTTCCCTTGACAGGTTCCCGAGGCTATTATCTCCTTCGCTCTATTGCTCTGAGCAGCCAAGTTGGAAAGAAGACCCAGAAGCTCATGCATGAGGTCTTCTTCACACAATGCAAAAGCCCAAAGAGTCCAGATGAACTCAAACACACCTTCCTCTATACATGCCTCCACCCCTTTCTCATTTCTGAAGATAAAATTTTTAAGTAGCCGCACATTTAAAATCAGCTCAGCCAGGAGTAGATCACGATGATGCTCATTCAGCTTTCCTTGATTTGGAGAGCCGGATGTGTTACATCCGTGTAAGCTGTGCGAACTTTTGAATGGTGGGGCCCGGTCGGAGTGGTCGACTAATCTCGGTACTTTGTTGCTCTGTTTAGATTTGTATTGCGAAGCACTGCGTGATGTCGGAGTCGATGGATTATCAAGTCTCTTCGGAACAAGTCCACACGAGTCCAGGAAGGAATATACCTCGTACGCAAGTCTCATCAGCGTAGTTGGCAAGTCCAAATTTGAACCCAGATCCTTCGCCTTCGGACTGTTCACATAACCATCGAAAACTTTTACAATCTTGAGGGCTTTCATGATTACATTTCTGAATCTGCATGTTCTCTCTCCATGCTTAAATTTCAAACCGGATATTATTAGCCTTTCTTGACAGAAAACTGCTCTTTACAGGAAAATTTAGACATATACAAGAGCTAGTCATGATTCAAGCTTCACGAGCACATATATCTGATTGAAGATAACTTTAACTGGTGCAGTGAAATATTGATGCCAGCGTCGATTTGAAGATAACAAGCATAAATGGGCATCTAACGGAGGTATGGTAAACAATTCGGTCTAACATCTAAAAGCGTTACTGTAGAAAGAGAAGTGGGCAGAGTGTGCCCCAATTTTAGCACTGACATATACCGTACAGGTGATGTATTCAGTTCTATTCAAAGGTCTTTTACAGCACCTGAAAGAGATAAGATTTTGTAGTGCTCTTCCGACACTCATAAGAAGAGACTGCAAGTACATGATGAAGTCTCCTTCTTGTGACACTTTGGGTTGGTGAACCTGCTCATGCGCATCTTTTAAGAGTCGGAGCAGAACATCGCACAACTGCAAGAACAAGGGCGTAAATTGAAACAATATAAGTTCACATTCAAGCTTTGCATACATAATCATGACTTAGAGCACAGCTCACAAATCGTGCAAAGGCGAAGTGCGAATTATTAGATATGGCTAAAACTAAACACATCAAGATTTTTACTTTTCATTCTGGAGGAATAAGTCTCTAGCAAAAGCACTGGCTCATACATACTTACTTGTAAACTCTAAGGTAGCACAGAAAGGGTTCAGGAGAATTAGATGACCTCATAGCAGGACGTTCATCGAATGATCCTTAAATTTGACCAGATCCAGATAGGTACAAGGACTCATCACAAGCTAAAAAACTCTTTTCAGAGACAATATTTCTTGCATCGACCATAGATGCATAGAGTTACTTACATTTTCGGCGAGATAATCATAAGGATCACGTCGAAATTCAACTTCATAAGGTTTCAATGCACAGTTTTCTAGGACAGCTTTTGCCTGGCTCTCTTCTGACAGCATCGTTCCAACAAGTGAACAAAGTCCCAACTGGCATCTCCTCAGCAATGCAGAGGTTTTCAAATGAACACTGCCTTGTCTTTGAACCCTCAAGCTGCTATCTTGAAGGTCTGTAAGAATAGGTAACCTCCGGAGAAGACGGGTAATTCCCCAGAAAACTCCAGATTGACTTGCAAGCAAGCCAAGGTAGTTGCGCCATATCTCTTTGCTCAACACACCCCTGACTTTGCTGGTGTTGAGTTCCAGACATTCAGATACAGAAGAGCGTAGAGACCTGATGTCGTCCACACGAATGTGGTTGATTTCCTCATTCGGAAAAGGGCCAGCATTAGTCATCAATTTGCCCGTTATCAGGTTCAAGAGCTCGGAGAGTTGAAAGATTGCCTCCAATCTTTCATAATGAGCAATACTGACTACTTTCTCGAAACAGTCATCTCCTTCGTATAACTCCATTTCTTCGTCTGTTCCCACCTTATTAGAAGCAACATAGGCTGTCTCCTGGACAATCAGGATTGACAAATTTTGTTCACTGAAACAATAATTTAGCGCATCGAAAACTTTAGTGATTGTCAAGTCGCTCTGGATCAAGGCTTGAAGTCGAGGATCGTCATCTTGAGCTAAAACCAGAAGTGTTTCACCCAGACATGACTTTATAGCAAAGTTGTATGCGGAATGCTTGCAGCTTGTAAATAATCCTATTTGAAGTCCTCCTGATCGAGCCGGTTGCGCCATTCCAAATTCTAAATTCTGGACAAGAGCTCTGAAGAATGTTGGAACTTCATATATCTTCATTTTGATATATTCGATATCCGAGGTTGCAAGCTTCAAAATCAGTTCTACCAAAACTCGATGAAAGCCAGGAGTTCCATTTCTTGTCAAAAGTAATGAGGGCAGTCGGTTCCAAAACTCGTGTCTTTGCAGCGCAGCGTTTACACCCAAACCGTCAATAATCTTAAAGCTGGCTGGAGGACAATTTTCCTCCATGGTGATTGAAAATCTCTCATTACTGGTCCAATTGGTTGATGATATGAGGAAGCAAAGACCTTGTTCTCGTACGGCAAAGCATTCCTGCTCATTAAGGACACTTTTAACAGCAACATCACCAAGCTCTGGCCAGTTTCTCTTCAGCAGTTCCCTCGTTCTAGGTGTAGCAGGAGTTGCCAAAAGAGCCAATATTCCGAAAGCCATCCCTCTGAGAATCGCTTCATGATCTTCGAGGAGCCTGGCTAACCAGTACGTGATTCCTGTGGATGACCATATGTCTTGCCAAAGACTTGGGAGGACAAAAGAAGTAACTGACCAAAGGCATGATACAATCTCGCGCACTAGACCCTTGTGTCTCAGCGACCGATGATGATGAGAGTGCAAGTGAGCCATGTGCTTGATAAGGGGTACAATAATGTAAACAAGATCCTGATCTACCGTAGTTCCTAGGAGCTGCTTCGGGCTACCAAGGTGTTCAGACCCTGGTTGAACGTTTACTCTCTTCAACTGTACATGGCCATTTTTACTTTCCATGATTTCTTGATGTGAGGACCCTTTACTCTTCTGCGAGTTAATGTCCAGACTTCTGACTGATCTGAAAACATCGTCACCCACAAAAGATGCCAGCCCTTTGGCAATGAGAGTAAAACATCGCACTGCCAAGACACAGCAAATATAGGGGGAGTTCGAACTCTTCACAAATTTAGAAAGCAGAACTGAAAGTAAGCTTGTGCCCTGTTAAACACCAAAAACTACGCATTAGCATCAATTGGTATCACAGGAGGGAGATAAAGTAAACTAACAACAAACAGTTTCGAATAAAGACAATAAGAGCCTCATAAATAAGACATGAAGCTGAGTTCGAGTTTCTAGTTTCACTACGGCACTGCTTCCTGTAATGTACGACTTCGTGCTTCAGACAAATCGTGCAGTTTGAAACATGCGATTCCATTTCTAAGTCCACTGTGTCAATTTGCAAAAGCGTGGTGAGTACTGGAGGGACAAAGAACCTTTGCCAGCCTAACTGCTACTTGACAAAATAACTCTTGGTCCGTGTGCTCCATCGTATACAGCAATGTATCAACGACCAGCCTCAGTATCTTTACTTCAAGGTCAACTAAGGGGTATCCTTCGCCAACGACAGTTGCGTGATGCACATTTGGTCCTGAGAATTCCAGATATATCATTCGGAAATTCAATACATCCAAACTTTTCTTGAACATGGAAGAAAGATTTGGAGTTGCACGTTCATGTCACGGGTAGCAGCTATTTTTTTCTTAATAGATGAAAATTTCATATCTAATAACTATTGTGTGAAATAAATACCACGTATTCTATCTTTTTTAATATAGTCATCACAAAGTAAATTCTGGATACTTTAAGTTGCTTGACGTTCGCCTTGAAGCGACGTACAATTCAATCTATGATGTGCCCAGTGGAAGATGGACCTTTTGCGAGTAAAGGCAATAAGGTTTGCTTGAAAAACTCTGTCACGGCAATAAATCCTGTTGTATCAGCTGACTTGGAGCGTACAATAATATGTACCAAATTCATGACCTGCAAAACCTCCATTATGGTGACGAGACTTAAGGAGGAGTATAGGCTTCGCTTCCGTATCCTTCGAAGGAGAGCACATATTGTTATTTTTGGTTTTAAAGGTCACATGAGAAGATAATGCAACCAACGATCGTACTTGTATCATATATGATTCATAGCCGAACATGAGCTAGCCTCGACGTGAGTATTGAACACTAGGTTTCGAGCACTGCTTCTAGTCAAAAGCATTCTCAATCTTGACTTCAGGGTTCTGCACCTTTAACAGCGGGACGAACTCCTCTTCTGTTGAGGGGAATCTTGCCAAGAATCGTTGAAATGACTGCACCCAAGACTCCTTTGCCAAGATCTTCGCTGCCTTTACAAAAGTTCAATTGTTGGTTATTGTGAAAATCCTTCAGACTTTGACAGCAGCAAGAAATGATCAAATATCATTTGAAACTCAAGATATCATGATAGAAATCTTGACTATCAGAAGTGATCAAATGTCAAATTATCAAAATGCACTTAGTGCCGACATACTAAGCTATCTGACGTAATATTTGCGCCTTACACCACTATGATCTGATTCTTTTTCCCTTTTAGGAGGAGATACTCTGTTCCGGAAAACCTACTTGTTGCAGAAAATTTTCAAATTTAGATAGAGCCTTTACGACTCTGCACTCACTTCTGGATGACGGAAACATTGAGCTTCGAGTTCCTCGAAAAACTGAACCTCCACACCACAGGACTGAAAGAGGAGATGACAGTCAGGAAGACAGCACAGTTAAAACACTTAGAACGAAAAGCGGAATAGTCTGTATGAGAGCATAACTCAGCCGTATTACTCGAGTTGAAGGCACACTTACGAGATGCGGATCTGACAAAAGCTTCAATACTCGCTTGACAGATATTTCAGAATGAAGAACTGAAAGACATGAAAGAGCCTGCAGTTCTAAAATTGTGAGGGAGTCTCCTGACGAACCCACTTTTTTTTCAAGCTTCAATAACAAGTTTTCCGGTCCTCCTGCAAACAATAAAACGCCTCAGAGGGATATGATCGACTGCTCTAAGTTCCCAAAATCAATTGGTAGCCAACCTTTTGACAGAACTCACCTTCAAGAAGATCTGTCTGTGCAATGACACGACGAACCAATCCTTCATCCACTGGAGTTTCAGATGCGCTAGCTATCAAAGGTTTGATCTGAACAGCAACAACTTGACAAGGAAAACAATAGGCTCTTGCAAATGGAGCAGGGACGAAAATTCGCGGAACTCTTTTAGTAGACTTATGACATGTCTCTGGATGCAACGGGTCCTTGATCATACCCATCTGCACAAATTTTCATATAGTTGTACGCAAGACAGTCAGTTCCTCTTGTTGACACCAAACGCATAGTGGAGGGAGCGCTTCTTTAAGCGAATAGGCGGTTTGAAAGAGTGAACAACTATTTTGAGATTCTTCAGTTAATCATTTTGCATAAGATTTAAGTAATCCGAGCTAGGGGTACCACAAACATACTCCTACTCGGAGTTTCTAGTCACTGGTTCCAAGTCCAAAGCTGATGATCTTGAGTGAAATAAATTGAGGACGAACAAAGTTTACAGGTCTATGTAGCAGTTAAGGGTCTTGTTTACTTTACAAAAAGGGGAGGAATTCTAAATTACGCGAGACCGTCTTCACCTTTAAAAGGTCCTCGCTCGTCATATAATTTTACTTTCCCAGTCTGTCGGTACAAGCACCGCAAATTCAGGGTGCTGGGTCTATGTATTCAGGCTATGACAGGCAAATACTTGATATATACAGTCGACGCTTCTCTGAGCCTGAGCCTGCCGATGTTTCTAAACCTTTATACCAACAAAATCTATCATACATACCAATGTTAGAGGATAAAATTGCATACCCTTTTTAGGCGGGTCAGCAACAAATCGGAGCTGAAAAGGCAGTAGGAAAGCAAAAATGCCAGATCTTTCCTCGCAGACTCAGCAGGATGATACACCATTGGCAAAAGAGACCATAAGTGCTCATACGAGTTGCTGACTAATAGGTCACGAAGCTTACAGTTTCCCTCGAACTCGGAAGCAGAAGCCAATCTGGTCAAGAAGCTCAAGCACGCTGTTCCCAAATCAGATACATGTGGAGGAAAATAGTTGTCCATCTCTTCATCGTCAAAATTGCTTTGCACTACAGCTGGGACATAGTCTCCCGCAAGAGGTTCTTCATCCTTAGTAATTGAGTTCGTGATCTCAAAGATCAAGGCTTTAAAGAGCTCCTCATCACTTTCCAACAGGCAACACAATGAAGAGTCTTGAATAAGCCATATTAAGTGTTCCACAGCAGATTTCCGTATGATCTCACCGACCGACCGACTTTTGAATATGCTCAGTAAGTCTTCAACCTTCTTCTGCCCGGATGGTGAAATCTTGTGATGAAGCTTCTTTCTTGGTTGTTGGTTACATGCTGTTGATGTTGATGAGATCAAACCTTCTTGACATGTAAAACAATGCTGAAAAGGATCTTTTGAAGGCGATGATGTTTCCTCTGATACTAGTGTCTGCAATCTTTGAGATTCCCTGCTTCCAGAAAGTTCCAGCTCTTTAAGCTTATCCAACCACCGAGCAGTGTACCTCTTTGATGTGGACCAGCTGTTGATAACTTTTAGCAACCCTGATGAAGCTCTCCATCGTTCGGAGCTGCAAGAGCTGAATAAAGAACGCAAGATACTACAAAGTTCAACACACTCCACATTTGTTCTACTTTTGGAGTGTAGAGGAGGCCCTGCTTCGAGTAACAACTGGGCCCTGACGATATTCTCAGAAATTTGGGTCACGAGGGCCTGGATAGTAGGTGAGGAAGACCCACCACATTCGATCCACGGAAGAACATCGATGAGTTCCGAACGCTCGACCTCAGACAGGTCTTCAACAAGGTGTAGCAAGAGCTCCGCGGATTGCTGCACATATCATAAGTTCGTGTTCAGGAAGAGAACAACACGTCTGGGAAACCTAAAGCAGTCAATATACACAACGGAACAACTGTGAATGAAATGCCAAACACATTTGTGGAAGAATCCATAATGTGTACTGAACTTGTACTTTATAGCCAATCCTGATTTTGTCGAAATATCATGACCACGCGTGAAAACTTTTCTAGCATAGCTGATTAGGACGGATGAACGTTCTACAAGATCAACGAATATCGAACCTTACAAGAAGCTCCATCATGAAGACCAGTAGTGATAATCTCACCCAATACGCTTGGGCTGTAGAGGATGAATCGTTGAAAAACACAAAACGGCCTCGCGTATCCTCCCCTCCAGTGCAAGAGACAACCAGATTCATCAACACTAATAATCTCGTTGTCAACTATGAATTCCTCTCTCTCCATAACTTCCCCTTTATTTACTACAGAGCTATACTGGCTCGCTAGCCATCTATCTCTCTCAGAGATCTCAAGCACAGAATCATAAGCACATTTACGAACAAATATACTAGTGCTTGAGAAGAGAAGAAGAATTAGAATCCTCGCTTTGTCCAGTATGGAGAGGGTTGCACTGGCATTCAATAAGCTGGCATTCTTTTCATCCGAAACTCCAAGTCCAGAATTACAGCAGCTCCTTTGTTTCCAAGCGTTGACCAACTCTATTGTCAGCACGTCGGATAAGATTCGTACTTGCTTCCGAACCAAATACTTGTCGTTGTGATACGAATTGTGAGGGGCTGCTTCGATCATGCAAGTCAATAATGACTCCACATCAATGTCTGGTGAGGTTGTTCGTCTCTTAGAGTGCAATAAAGCTTCTTCCGATTTAGCCAAACGCTTCCGCAGCATATGCAAAGCGCAAGAAGCCTCTTCAGCCCATGTGTAGCTTTTGTAAAATTCTGGATCCAGATATCGTAAGTAAGGAATAATCTGCAACGCATCATGTTCTTAACAAGGTTAGTGAAGAATCTTCTCAACGACAGTCCATAAAAGAAGTCCGTCATTCCGTACACAACAAATTCGGAAGGAAACAACTTTCATAGGAGCACTTAAATTTGTAGACACAGTGTATGTATACAAGTCTGTTCTGAGTTTAAAATATAGACAGTTTTTTAATACCACATGAAATTTGTGGCATGAAATCTTATTTCAAATAGGTAGAAAAGGTTGAGCTTTTCCGAATAACAACGCATCATACTTTTACGAATGAGCAACTGCACAAAACACCTACTTATAATTTTCAAAAAGGAAAAGAAAATTTCTATTACACCAGTGTACTTGAGAGTTAATGACGATTCATTTTCTTCGACCGCAGATTAAGAGCGTTCACGAAGGAGCAGTGTGTTTACATGTTTGTGGGTACCAAACGTGCACTCTGCAAAAACCAGATCACCTGCAGAAGTAGCCAGGGCTTTTACGAGATATGAGGGCATCAACCCAGCAACATGAGCAGGTTGTAGTAATAGCAAGAGTTCTGCTGAAAACGTGAGTACGCTCAGCAGAGGTAAACAGTGACGAGCTCTTGAGTCGTAATTCCGCTTCCTTGTATGTTCCAGACACAGAGCCTGAATGTCTTCAGAGTTCCCTGAAAGAGTTTGCAGTACTTCACAAAGTACATGGAAATATTGGGTGAAGTTAACTTGAACCTGCGAAAGTAAATACTATGTAAGTGTAATTCATGACAGTCCAAGTCATTGTGCAGTGAGGTCCATGATCTGTATAACAGAGCAGGGATCTTCTATACAGAAACAAATAAATATCGTCAAATCTTATATTGATGTATACAAATTATCCGTGTGGAAGAACAATGAACCATCGTATCATTCTCATGTCTGCTTGTCCACACTAAGTTGAAAGTTTCATGATGGGCAAGTCATTAATACATCGTTCACGGATCTCCATTCAATCTAGTGACCTGCTATAATCTGAAGTAAAATATCTTTCAAAGAAGCTGCAATCCCCCCTCAAGGACAACCTTAATAACAAGATCATAATGTATAGAGCCGATACATGTCGCAGCGGAGTTCGAGCCTGGAGTACCTTACGTCGACTAACCCAACCCCAGAACACTCTCATGGACAGGAAACATTGAGGCTCAATAGTTGAAACGTACCAAGTGTAGAGCACAAACAACTTAGTGGCTTCGACATTGAGTGGCGCGAATAACAGAAAAGTGAGATAGATAAGTCCGGTTGGACGAGGTCTTGAAGAATGTGAAGCGCTCCTTTTTCTCACATTTTCAAAATAACTTTTAATTGTTTGACCTCACCTTATCTGGCAACTTCTTGTCTTCATTTGGCTTGAGGAGTGGTAGAATCTCGTACAGAATATTCAGACTCGAATCCCGATGATGAATATTGAGTAGTAGGTGAAGAAGCTGGAGAACAAATTGGTGTAGAGAGTGACTCAGGGTGAAAACTCGTTGTTCTCCACACTCGTTGGTTGTACCATTCCCAGACAGAACATTGTGATTTCTCCAAACAATCTCCGAATCCTCTGAAGCACCAGGCTTGAGATGTACAGGATAACTGTCTTTGAAATCTGGTTGAGACGTCACTTCATTAGCCGGTACAGACACATGTTTAGCTTGAAACGGTGGCTGGTTCTCCGGGTGTACTTGAAAAGAAGGTTCAGTCGAAATTTTGATAGACCCCTGCGAGCTTCCACTACAACAGCGAAAGAATATCACTTTTCGGAACATCACAGAAGACCGACTATAAGCAGCATGAGCTAACTTACTCAATGTGAACCCTTATCAAAGAGCATGAGAAATTATCAACACACAATTGCATTACATACGCTTGAGTAGACCTTGATTTGACGAACTAATTCCAGCAAGAACTCAAATATTACGTGCTCCACATTGCGGTCTTTAACCTTCGACAGCACTTCGAACGTGTTCTGCAGCGTTGTACTACGAAAGCATCGGATCAGAAGTGCAAGGATTGAAAATAATGAAGCATCTAATCATGAAGGCGAATAATCACTAAACCTCCGTCTACTTTAGAAGACATTCAAATCCTTCTCTGCCTGCCTACATGGCAATTCATCCACAAGTTTCTCACGTTTTCCGCTGCTATCCTCAAACATCCTCTATCACTATTCTGACAAGTATTTGGCTCTCAATACTCGATGAAGCCTGCATCATCAAAGTAACCTACCTCCACAACGCAAAATTTTTGAAGAATTGCTTCAGAATGAAAGTCGAAGACTATGGCTTCTCGCAGTTCCTTGAAGGCCCTCAAAAGCATTTGTGGATTGTCTAGATGTTGCAGGGTAACTGGCGTGCACAACAAGAGAACGTAGAAACGTTCAGGAAGGAAAGTAAGCGTTCAAAATGGCGTATGGAGTAGAGCACGTGGTAGGAATGGATTTGAGTAAAAGAAATGAAGTTCTGATGACAATGTAGTCCACCGTTACCATTTATGTTAATTAGATACTTGCTGTCAATTTCCTCCAACGCGATGCATGGCATGATTGATTTGGACGCATCTGCTTCCATAAACACCCATCAACGTTAAGTTTCATTTATATATCTGGTAAGTCTACAGCTTTCACTGCCCATTTGAAAACGTGACTTATCGAGATTAGCGCAAATAGTAATGCTTTGTATACTCAAAGAAGCTGTTTCTCATATGAACATGCTGTTCCCCGTATGGAGAACGAAGAAATTCGATCTTCACTTATAATAAAATATTTGAAACAACTCCGGACATCTCTCAGTAGCCGATAAACCAAGAGTCTTTAGTTCATGACATGATTGACGCTGGCTTCCACAAAAAGCCCCAAAATCACAAACCACTAACAACACTCATCCAAAATACAGATTCTAAACATGAGACGACGATCTTAGCATTTGGGTTTGGGACTACCTGGGTTACAGGTATCAGACAAAGAATCTGTCCTCGGTATCTGCTTGAAAGGACTCTTTCCAAAGTAACCTTCAGAATGTCCTAGACCTTCTCTTGATGACACCGATTGATTAGCCAGGCTTTCATGAGAGGGAGAACTTAAGCCATCGTTATTTCCCAAGGGAGCAGGGCTGGTTGTCTCAGCCCTCCCAATGAACTCACCACGCCCTTGCAACGAATATTTCATTTCCTTCACTCTCTCCCGTTCAGATTCCATATCAACCACCATGCTGTAGTCCTTGTTTTGAAGGGGCACCTCGACAGTTCTGCTCCGACCAACCTGTTTTGTTTTCGACAATGACCACATATCTGGTTCTTTGCAAGAAGCATGTCTTGACTTTGGCGGATCAAAGACTGCATCATCAACCCGTCCGCGTAAAGTATAAACAAGTGAAGTGATGAATGGTAAAATCGCAGGGGAAACATCTTTTTCCAAATGTTTCATAAATTCCACAGCACCAAGATCAGCCAGCATCTTCCGTAAGAGGTCATCCTGTACAGAATCTCAATAGTCGCAAAGGTCAGCAAGCATCGTGGAGGGTTCATGGACAAAATAACTTAAATATTGGTAGATCATTCTGAAATATTTCAGAATAATCTACCAATATTTACTGGTTAGAATTCGTGCTAAACCACTTGAGCTTCGCAACTTAGTCCTTAGCCAGTGCATGGGTCTCAGACTGTACATATTATAAGATATGTGTCTGGTGGCAACAGCGGCGCTCCCACCACCAGACTCAGATCTCATAACGTGTAAAACTAGCGAATGTCGTGACTTCAATGGTCGAACGTCCACCTCGCTGCAGGAAAAAGTGGTGAGTCGGTGCCTCTTATGTGAGGGTAGAAAAAACATGCCTGTGCAAGCGTTGTGAGGATGCTCAAGGCCAAGACTTGGTCTGCAGCCGAGGGAGTTGGCAAGTTGAACCACTCCAAAAGATTACGAAGCAAAGGCATTGTTTCAGTCTGTGGATCCCATTCCCTGTAAGTGCCGCCGGTCACAATGCTTTCCAAGTTCCTCAGCGCTTTAACACGAACATCAGCCTCCTGGTGAACTGCGATGTCACGAGGGGTCAGACAGACTTCGGCTAACATAAACGTGTTTTAGCAATGAGAGTGACCAGTTCTTGTGACACAAACATAAAACCTGGCACCACATGAGGATGGAGAAACTACTGTAAGGATGTCGAACAAGGAGGAAAAAATGTTCCAAATATTTTTACCAACCAGTATCATCGAAATTCGTCATGAAAACATCAAACATCAACAGTCGGTGCTCTCAGTTGATAAGGTCGAGACAATACTTGGACTCAAAAGAACGAAGTCTTAGGTGCTGTCAGGTTGTATCTTCAAATGGATTACTATAGCCATAAAAGTGAAATATTCACATACCAACGGAACCTCTGACTGCAGATCATTATTGATGTCACTATGCTTTCCTTCTGTATGTGATAAGACTACATAAGAAGGGAAGAATCATAGGAATTGCATCTGACAAGTACCCAAAACAATCCAAGCAGCAAGTTCCAGCCTTCAGATGCGCACTACTCAAGTGAATTATTGTCTAGCTGTTGAGGTCTACGAAGACAGTGCTTAGTGCAGTCCAGAAGAACGGCGAACAGCGGCAAGCAACTATGCACAGCAATACCCAAAAATTCAGAAGTACGAGACAATGTGACAGATAGAAGCCGTGAACCATCAAGTTTCAGGTAAAGAAGTTAAAAATGAGACAAATCGAAAACGGGCAGGAATACTCGGAGTAGCCTGCTCACCAAGGTCCGCAATCAGAACGTGGATATAATTATACAATTGATTTGCAAGACCAACACCGCCAATCAAGTATGTCTTTGCCTTCTTCACTGCCGACTGTCCGTGATAGAGAGAACCTCTTTCTTCATCACCGCTGCTCCGGGAAATAACAGCGTCCATTGTGCCAGGTTACCAGCAATTTTCAGTATATAGATAGTCACCTCCGAAGCCTGGTCTCCGCATAAATTTTGCTTTTCAATTGCCGACGTAAAAATTCATTTCTGACCCTATCTGCTACCGCGAAAGTTAGATTGCATCTCTGCTCTGCGGAATGATTTTTCAGGCAAAAGGTAAAGAAGTGTCAATAAGTGCATTATTTCGGAGTCACGACGTCAATTTTGAAACTAATCTTTAAAATTTGATGATCTGCAAAGGCAAAACATCTTTGAAGCTGGAGTCCGCTAGCTCGTCACATGACAGCTCAAAAGTTTCGGAAAAATCAACTGAAAACAAGCAAGAAACATCTTTTTTGCTGAATCCCATCCTTCCATTTGCTATTAACTCGGCCCCTCGTTGCCACTGTAAACAAGCAAGAACAAGAACCGACATAAATGAAATGAAGCTGCCATAACACAACAACCACCACTCACTTCACGTTTATTCACCCCGCACGCCTCCGTCGCCAACAGAAGCTCTACCTCCGATCCCCAATGTCGTCTACGGACGTGACCTCCATCCACCGCATCCAAAACCTACTCCGAAGTGTTTCGGGCTTCAACTTTCATGTCTCTGGCTCCATCCCTCTTCTGCTGTCTTGCTCCGTCCATGGGCCGCTCAGCGAGCGGTAGCGGGCGTCACGGCACGGCAAGTCTGCAATCCTCTTCTTGCCACTCCCTCCGTGAGTCCGTCCCTCCCTCCGTCATCTGCCGTTGCAAAGAACAAGAAAGAATTCACTTCAGATTCTTGCGGAAACCTTCTCCTTCCTGGAAATATGATTTATGAAAGCATCTTCGCTCAGTATTGACTATGAGACTCCATAAGAAGGGATATCAGGAAACTGATAAAAGAAATGGAATGCCTTAGATGATTAAAAAAATCGTGCAAGCAATTACATTGTATGTGCAACCAGTGTGAAATCTTAAGGTTCAATACTTGTTACTAAAAGATCGGGTTGTGTCAGCAACCGCGACCTTCGAATGTTGGTTGTATTTTTGGGACAATGAATTAGGATTCACATCTTCTATTAAAATTTGTGTTTCATTGTGGATCTCTCTCTTCATTATGAGCACAATCTGCTTCTCATCTTCAATATCAAAGTCACATTCCACCATTAACATCTCCATACAAATTTTCTCATCTTGTAATATATTTCATCTCCAGATTTCCTGGATCATTGTTACCTGATCAACTCATAATAGCATAAGACATCTGAAAACTTCTTAATAGGTTTATTCATGGATGTAATTGGATCTATCAATTTGATAAAGTCAAATGGGTAAGATGGGGCTACTTATATTTAGATTCACATTGAGGAATATGTTTTGCTGATTTAGGATATGTGAACTAAATTCACTAAATTTTGTACATGTACACCAACATCCAAAGAATCATCAGATGATATGATTGATATGCTATCAAATGAATATTGTGATGATAACTAGTTTATCATAAAACACAAAATTGTTGATAAAAGACATATCATGGCATGCATGAATTTAAGTCTTTTGTCATTGAAAGTAAAATGTTCAGTATTAGTTCCTCATACTTTTAAATCATGATGGAGGTGAGCATAGTCATTAAACTTTGATAGAGAATCGATGTGACAATAAGCTGATATTGATTGTGTTCGTGTCACAACCATTATAAAAAATTCAATTTTCAATTTTGAAACATTTTTGAAGACTTTTATGATCCTTAAAGAATTTTCTTGGATCTTTTTAAATATATGAAAATAAAATGCTCCAACCAAAAGCTATGATGTACTATGCTCATCTTTGAAGAATGGAAATAACATATTATATTATCAAATCTGTAGTAAGAAAATCAAAATGACTATGATAAGTTATGTTCATCATGAGTTACATGAATATGAAGTAAATAAACCATGTTCATATAATTACAGATACTGAATTTATTTTATCCTTCATTTTATGTTATAATATTTATCAAATTTACATTAAAGTGTCATAGTCTATAATTTTATTTATTTATTTACTATATATAAGAATTATTGTGGGTTTAAGCATACAGAATATGGTTTTTTTTTGGAATTTGGAATCAATATGAACAAAGGTCTCTAATTTTGGATTTAAAAATATATTTTATCAAATAATTCAAAAATAAAAATTTTGTAAATACATGTTGAACAAATTAAATATAATATGCATATTTTATGTTTTTTAATCTGAAAATTATAATTCACCGTGATAGATATGTGTTACACGGTTCTTACAAGTAATTTAAAATATTTTATCATTGAAAAGCAAAGAATTTTGATTGTTTTATAAGTTTTAAAAGATGATATTTAATTTCAAAAAATCTTTTAAAAAATTTTAAATTTTGTTAGAAATATAAATTGGAATTTTTTAGATATTGGATTATATTGAAATTATAGAAAAATATGATTTTATAAGTTAATTGTATTCAATTTAGAATTATATACATACATATGTATAGTTAAATCTAAACAATATGTAACTTGTTTCAAATATTTTTTTTGCATAAGACCTCTTTAATAATTTATCACTTTATGGATTTGTATGCATATTTATTTTCCAATAAATAAATAGATCAAGTTCACAAAATTATTAAATTTATTTATGAAATACCAATATTTCATGTGTAATGTAGATTTTGATCTCATTTATCTTGATAAATTTATTAATATATTTGAAAAAAATTTCAAGAATTATTATTGATGTAGACTTATTTCTTCCAATCAATCATCATTAAACTTAGTTTTAGAAAAATTTAGACTGTACTTACGATGTTTGATTCAAGAAATCAAAATTTTCAAACTTTGCACAGATTTCTCTTTACATTCAAATTAATTATAAGATGAATCATAAAATCATCCGATTTAATGTTCTGGATACATGCATTTTAAGTCTTGTTAATTTGTCTATGCTAAAAGTTTTGTGTTATTTTTTAATATTTAAATATAATGTTGATATAATATTTCCTATTTCTCATGCATTTATGATAGGTTTGAAGCTTTAGGAAAGTTTTCCATAATTTAGCTTTAGAGCTGGCTACCTAATCAACAGAGTAAGAAAGAAAAGCGATGAGTGGTGTTTCAATCTGGTATATTGAGTACTTGTGGCGTAAGTTGACTTGTCCAAGCAATTGTTTCCGGGCAGAAGTGAAGTGGACATTTGTCAAGAAATGTAACAAAGCGGAGAACAAATTAAGAGCGAATTCCGGTTGTAAGTAAGCAATCCAGATTCCCTTGAATTAAAGTTCATAAATTCTTCCATAACTCTCGAACCCACATATTATCAACCGTATTGTACATTCAAAATTAAAAATGTACAGAATTGGTATACCCCTCACATTCGCAGTGTATTGTGTCGTTCAAATGATGCAGAACTCGAGGCGTCATAAACGAATACAATACCAAACACCCAATCAAGGAAATTTGTGCAGAAGAGACAAAGTAATCCTGATAATTTAGAGATGCCACTGATCTAATCTTCACGCGAGCAACACGAAGAAACAGTGGTACAAGAACATGTCGGCCGGACAGACGGGCGGACGAATTGACGGACGGACGTAAGAGGCAACGAGCTGCGTGAGGCATCATCCACATAGGACACAAGAACACGCGGCAGGCATGACACTAGGACCTGCCGGATACAGGAAGTGGTGGTGGGCACGACAGAGGCAGATCCCGGGGCGGTCCGGCGGACCGGCGGTCCGAGGTGTGTGCGCCGTGCCGGAAAGAAGGGTGGGGGCGGAAAAGGCCGAGGGAAGCAGACGGCAAAAGGGTCGTCCTTGCCGCGAGGAGACGGACTTTGTGGCCGGGCGGTGCGTCTAAGTAAGGAGAGCGGAGACGAACGAGGAGGAGGCCCGAGCGGTCCCCGTGTGCACTTATGCCATTTCTCCTTCGCTTCTGTTCTCCGCTCTGATCGTCGAGACGAGCGAGCGAGCGAGCGAGCTCACATCGAGGAGGCGGAGGAAGTGGAGCAGCAGTGGAAGGGAGGGAGGGAGGGAGGAAGGGAGGAAGGTCAGGCCGGGCCAGCCAATCCGAGGCAAGTCAAGGCAGTGTAGCAGAGCAGAGGAGGACGAGGAGGAGAGCAGCAGCACGCGAGCGAGCTCGCCCACTCCGGAAGTGCGTCGATTTGTGGATCGAGGGGCAGGCAGGCATTTGGGAGCTTTAGAAGGCTTGAGTTGAGGTGGAGGGTTTGTCGGGTCGTGTGCAGAAGACGCAGAACCGAGAGGGACGAGAAGGAAGGGAAGGGAAGGAAAGGAAAGGAAAGGAAAGAGGGCAGATTGGTAGATCGATCGAGAAGGTTGGAGAGGGAGAAGGGGTGAGAGGTGGGGGAGAGTGGGAAGGGGGAGCGAGTATAAAATCAGGCGAGGGCGAAATGCGGCACTGGAGGTAGCAGAGAGGCAGGGGCGCAACTCCGATCGCCAGTGCCCCCGTTGAAAGTGAAGCTTGCGGGGTCACTGAAAGCCTGGCGCCATGGTACGGCTCCTCTGACCATGGAAATTGCGTTTTCCCTCCCCAGTGTTGTCGATCGGGATGTTAGCGATCTCAGCTGTTTCTGTTTCTGTGAGTTTTTCTGTTCAGTGTTGTGGTGGTGACTAGATCTTACTTGTTCTTCATTGTTCAGGTGGTCCTGGCGGCTTCCATCATCAGCAAGTCCGGGAAAGGTGAGCGTCAGTCTGGACCCTTATTCTGCCCATTGAGAAGAGCTTAGGGTTAATACTAGTTTTGAAGATGTGTTCTTGCTTGGTTGAAGATGTTCAATTTTCCGCGATTGTATTTTCCATAGATGCTGCAATCCGGCCAATGTAGGGGAAACAATCTGGCCTTGTTAATCTAGATCCAGCCCATGTGGGTTTTCTGGCCAAGAATGCACTCTTTTATGGGTCTTAAGATCGAAGGGTGTTCAATTTCCAACCAGAATTCGAAGGTGATCCCGATTTCTTGTTGGATGCAGCTCTTGTCTCCCGGCAGTTTGTGGACATGTCTAGGATACGTATTGAGGGCCTACTAGCTGCATTCCCAAAGCTCGTTGGCAGCGGCAAACAACATACCTACGTGGAGACTGAGAATGTCCGATATGTTTACCAGCCAATGGAGGCCTTGTACCTCCTTCTCGTCACCAACAAACAAAGCAACATTCTCGAAGATCTTGAAACATTGCGTCTTCTGTCGAAACTTGTATCCTATTATACATTTGTGTTGTTTCCAGCTGCTGGGTCGTTCGCTGCTTTACTCTGGATCTAAAATTGTGATATGGAAAATGGATTTATCAATGGGTAGTTCTTGATCCGGGGATACCGTAAGACGATCTGTTGCAAATGTTTTTTTTCTTCGTTCCAGTGATTGGTAGACCTTAATTACTTCACAGGTGCCTGAATACTGCCCTGGCCTTGATGAAGAGTCAGTTTGCAAAACTGCCTTCGAGCTCGTATTCGCTTTCGACGAGGTTATTTCTCTGGGACACAAGGAGAACATAACAATCGCTCAAGTGAAGCAATACACCGAGATGGAGAGCCACGAGGAGAGACTTCACAACCTCATCATCCAGAGCAAAATAATCGCCACTAAGGACGAGATGAAGCGCAAAGCCAGCGAGATTGATAAGAGCAAGGTAGGCCGTCGCATTTGCTTCGTTTGTTATGCTGCAAGTGTGGTCTCAATCATTGCACAATGGAAATTTCAGGTATTTGAGTAATGTGTTTTTATCATTGATGAACAGATCGACAAGGGCAGAATGGGAGGTGGTGGTAAGGGAGGCTTTATGTCCAATTCTTCATCTAGCAACAACGGTGGTAGGATCGACAATGGGTACAGTGATTTAAGTGCATCTGGAGGTGGCGGCTTCGGCAACAACTCGAGCTTTGGAAGTTTAGATCCAGACTTCAACGCCAAATCCAAAGGTATGACGAAACGAAAGGCAAATGCAGTTACAGAACGTTTGTCAATCCTACCTTTCAGCTTCACTTGATTGAAAAGTTTTATTATTTTGGCAGCTCCTGAAGGTTTTGGCCTGAACATTAGTGTTCGCACACGTATTGGCCTTGACAAAATTGTTATTGTTTGGTTACAGCAAGGCCCACTTCGGCTACCGTACCATCGAAAGGTCTTGGTATGCAACTAGGAAAGTCACAGAAAGCGAACCAGTTCTTAGAACTTCTCAAACAGGAGGGAGAGGTTATTGTGGATGACGTTCAGGTATCTGCTCCAGGTCCGAAAGCAGCAGCTGTGATTACTGATCCTATAGCAATTGCTGTTGAAGAGATTTTGACTGTTACTATCAAGAAGGATGGTGGTCTCGAGTCACTTGAAGTTACAGGAGAGATGGCATTGGTGGTACAAAAAACAGAGGATGCGTTCATCCGAGTTCAAGTAAGTTCCGGAGCATGGCTAGAAGAGTACTCCCACAGCCCTGTTGTTTCACGCAAGAGTGCTTTTACGTAAGAATTTGGTGGGTCAACACGCGATGTACAGATGGACATCTTGATATACTAGAATCTGACGATATCTATATAGTAACTTTCTGACGTAATCGTGTTCGTTGTTTTTTGTTTCTGTAATGTCCTCAGGTCGAACTAGGTCCCCACAACAACAACAATTTCAATTTCAAGACGCATCCTAATATCGATAAGGATCTCTGGAATAGAGAGAATATTTTAGGAATGAGAGATCCTTCTAAAGCTTTTCCTACAGGCAGCCGATCTGGCATTTTGAAGTGGCGAATGCTCAGCAAGCAAGAATCCTTGGTTCCGCTTATGAGTACGTGGTCGTCTATTATTTCATTCCATTCCCACTTTCGTTGAGGAGTATGATTTTTAAAGGTCTGGATGATGAAGGGCCAGTGTCAAGATGAGGATGACCTGCATTCAATTTTACTATGTTAGATGTGTTAGTTTTTTATGTGTTCGTCGGCTTGTCAACTTCTTAGTCTACTTTACTATCTACGGATGGAAGGACAATCTTAATGGTCCGGAGCGATACTGTCTTCGTAAAAGGTTGACCTAGCAGTCTTTATTAGAGAAGACTAAGTAAGAGACTTCATAGTCACACATGGTTGGATGTTCAGAACAAAAGCTTTTAGGACTACTCGCCAGTTTCAGTGAACTAAATTAAAGGATGTTTCTTGTGTTCAATTGCAGTAAACTGCTGGCCTTCTGTTTCGGGTGGAGAGTCGTTTGTGAACATTGAATACGAGGCCTCTAAGGCTTTCGATTTGCAGAATGTTGTTATCCAAATACCTTTGCCTGCTCTCAGAGATGCTCCCACCGTGAATCAAGCAGATGGAGAATGGAGGTATATCACATAGCCCGTCACCTTTTGAATGTGCTGTAGCTCCACGTTTTCCATGTTGTCATATACTAGTGGGCATCCTTTTCCGTTTATTAACGCTGATCTTCTGGTTTATAGGTACGACCCCAGAAAGTCCGTACTGGAGTGGACTATTGTCCTCATTGACAATACCAACCGGAGGTATGGAGGATTTGGGAGTTAATCTTTATCTCTTTCATTCTTCATTCTTGTGATCGCGTTTTGAATCCGTTTATCTCTCTGCCTTGCGTTCACATGTTTGATTCATTGAACCTGCAGTGGAGCCATGGAGTTTGTGGTGCCACCAGCAGATCCATCTTCTTTTTTCCCTATTGACGTGAAGTTCACTACCCCAAAAACGTTTTGCGATGTTAAGGTATGCACGGGGAGCCTACCTTTTTTTTCTCATTGCTTTTTTCGCAGGACAACTCGTAGCGTCTCTTGACATCTGTTGAAATCCCCTCATACCTGAGTGTCTACGTTTGAATGCCTCGTTGTCCTGGTGTATCAGGTTGTAAGTGTCAACCAAACACAGGGAGGTGCTATTACACGGTATGGTGGACGGACGCAAATGGTGGTTGACAGTTACCAAGTTGTTTAGGGACCCTGTCCGATATCGTTTGAGCTCGACAGGAGATTCAAGGGGTTGTTAGAAGCACATTTGACGCAGCATGAGTTATGTTGATTCTGACTTTCAGAGAAGAAAATAGCAGAAATTGCAATTCTGAGTTTCCGGCAAGCAATCACATGGTGTTCCTTGCCCTGCCGCATTTTTGCTGCCAGTTATGAGGGATGTGCTTTTTACGCGTTCACGAAGACGGGCAGATGGAACAGTCAAAACCTGTTTCATCTATACTTGAGCTGGCATGCTGTAGGGCTGTGGTTGTGTGTGCAGAATTGGAGTAGGTTGTGCACTGGTAGCCGCGGTAGCAGTAGCTTATTTGAAGACGAGGCACTTTTGTGAGAAGCTAATCGTGTAGTGTGCGATACAAGTCAACGGCTACTCTGGCCACCGATCTCAACCTTCTCAGAGTTGGTACTAGTAACACTCTCAAGTTTTCTACATGTTCCTGAGTGCTTGGGCAGGATAGTGCCAGTTCATGTGTATGTGATCAATGCTCTTACATTGCTTCAGATCAGGTCCAGTTTATTAATACAGAATCATCAGCTATTAAAATTCATAGATGGCTCTCTTCTCACTTCGTAGAGTTAGGTAACTTGAGTTACGGTGGCTATTGTCCTGTAATTCAGTTGAATTTCCGCTCTTTGCCTCAAAAGAGAGGGCTACTGAGACCAGTCGAGTTCCCATTTTTTGTATGAGAAGTTGTAGGGCATTTAGTTGTTGAACTAAGTTCAATAAGATTAACGCTTAGTTAACACTTGAATATCAATTGTTATCTATACCGTGCACTGATGCCGAGCTCTTGTGTATGCCATACATTCTCATTGCCCTTATTTTGAATTATTCAGGTATCGGTCCCTCACGCAAAAAATGATAACCACTAATCGACATGTTTGGATTTGGAAACCAGAACACACCGAGCACAAAAATTCGAAAATTACTTGAAACTATTTCACAAAAGTCAGATATGCTGGTGCGGTATTCATTCCATGTAGAGTAAGCTTTCCCCTCTGCTACCTTGGCACACAGCAGTGTCATCTTACATCTTATTTGTTCATTGCATGCCCGTTTCATGCGCGATGCGTCGGAAATGATTACTCTAAGCGAGCAATTATCAATCACGATGCGATATTTATTTTTAAATATTATTTTGTGATAGTTAAAACTTAAATCAGTACATACGCCGCCGAAACAAAACCATCAGGATAGGAAGACTCAAAACTAAAGACAGGACGGTACGAAAGACAACGTAAGTCAGTCATACGAGTGGTGAGTTGCGACATGTATTTGTATGTGTGTAGAGAGAAGACTGTCGAGGTAATAGGTACAAAATCATATCAGATGTTAGTGCTATATGTCATCAATATATAGTGGTATGGTAAACAAATTGCAATGACCAAAATGTGTGCATTTTATAAAGATGAAGAAAACTTCTCAAAACATTATGATTATCTGCGAACCTTACAGGAAGAGGAATATACTTATGTACACTACCAGTGATGATTGTAGATGTTACAACAGATGACATATTTAATTGTCATCTACTATTGTAGAAGCAAAACTGGTCTCTTCTAGTAAAATGGTATTGGATATCATTTTATGGTAAACGCGGTTACCTGTCTGTAATGTTTTTCTTCATTTTTACAATTTGATATTCAACATGATATGTACTGAGATAGTTACATGTCTAAATTAAATATCATACCGCTCTTAGCTGTGCAATTGCGATAGGTTTTAATCTGGATATCAATTCAGATATATATATATATATATATATATAAAATATCAAGATATGAAGAAGTGATAGTTACAAAATTTATATAGCTTACTATTCGGAATATTTAAATTTTTTATCCACAATAAATGAACTTTGAATTAAATCTTTATTCTTTTGATCATTACTTTTGTAATGATCAAAAGATCTATTAAAATCATATTGATTACAAGTCATAGGGAATTTATCTGGTTTAGCTTTTAAATATTGTGATATTTTTACTAGTTTTAATTTCAGTTATTGATGACATTCAATCAAATTATTTCAGGAATTTTGAAAGAATATTCAAGAAGAATATATTTATTTGTTATATATTTATCAAAAAATTTATCTAATTTGTCTTCAACTTTGAGACTATTGAGTATATTGTAATCTGAAAGCAATGATTCAAATTTTTAAACTAAAAGAAATATCACAAGCTATATTGGTGGTTGATTAAGTTTACAATGTATTCTAAAAATATTCTACTTAATTAAGTTTTTTTTTTTAAATTGTGTTTGTGTCGTTATCTAAATTTTAGTATTCCATTATTGATGATTTTTAAATATAGGATAGGGTCCAATTTGTGTATATACTAGTTGTATTGCATGATCTCATGAATATTATGGAGTTGGTATTCTGCTGTAGTAAATACATCTACTAATACCAGGATGTACATTACTTAAACCCAAGGGTACTTGTAGTTTATGCTTTATCCCAAAACATACCTTACTATGTTTACAACTCATGACTATTGAGGAAAAAGATTGAAGCAACTACCTTGGTCTTTTTTATGATCGATGACTAGCTAAGAAGCTTAAACAAAACCTTCGGCAAATATAGCTAGTTGATTATTAATGGACTCAAAGCTAAGGCTGTAGACAACATGCCACAAAGATGTATATATCAAAACACTAATTCCGCCTCCCCAGAGTTTATTTTCGTAGCCATGGGGAAGTTAAATGGGTGAAAAAGGAGGGAATAAGGGAGAATATAAAAAAAAAAGAAAGATTTTACTTACTTATCTCTTACAAATATATGTTCTAAGGACCCATCAATTTGTAAGTATTTCAATTTAAATTCATTTATAACATATGATTATTTTCAGTTCACATCTGAACGCATGATATTTAATAATTGAAGTAATTTTCTAAAAACTGCTGTTTTGACGAGTAAATTTTCATCAAAAAATTTGTGAAAATTGTTTGATGTAATAAAAGTACCCACACATTTTGGTGCACATTTAGTACATTTTGGACACTTTGGTAGTGTCGCAGCCAGATCTCTTGGAGTTGCACCGTGAAACACCACGTTTAGCACACCGATAATTGCTAGACTACACTGGCCATCCGCCTCGTGATCAGGCAAATTGGAGCTAGACCTTCTATTATTCCACGCGTGTGTGTATGCGAATATTGAGCTCGATAATACACCAGATCAAAGAACGAGACATGCGGTTTTCATTGAGGACCGGTCCTCGGGGCCTTGCGGTCCGGCAAATCCGTTCGGGGCCAGCAGGAAGAGGGAGCGGGTGACAGATTCAAGTTGGCCACAACGCGGAGCGTATCGGAGCCTTCACGTCACGTTTGTTCGATTCCATCGACAGACGGACGAGGAAAGAAGCGATCGAGCGATCGATCGATCGTTGGCCCGACGAGCTCTGTGCATGTGCCTGTTTCTGTTTTTCCTGTAGGTCGACGACGACGAAAGCCCGAGCCGATCGATTGGTGTCGTGTAGTCTTTGGCATTCTCCGCACAATTTCCGGACACGAGACAGATTGGCATTGTCGAGTGAGTGAGTGAGTGAGAAAGAGAGAGTGAGCTCTTGTGAGGAAGTGCGGGTCGCATCGAGGTCTGCGCACGAGGATTCGGTTGTGCGGGTTTGTTACGCTTTTTCATATGAATGAGAGTGATCGTGGATCGTGAGGGGCTGGCCGTCTTTTCGTAATTGGCCGGTCGGTTGGCGCTACGCGGACTAGAACAGTTCGGTGGGCAGAAAAGCCGGAGCCGAGGCCACTGTCGCTCAGGGAGAGGAGAGTGGGCGATTTACGGGCTGCTTCGGCGACCGGTTAATTGTTCTTCTCATCGGGGAGGTTGGGTCAGAAAAGCGAACGGCGTATCGGTGGAACGCAAGAGAGGTATTGACATTGTTCGTCGCGGTTGTTTATTGAGAAATTCGGCTTCTGCTGTTGCTGCTGGCTGTCCCCTCTCCTCGTGCCGAGAATTGGTATTTCTATCTTTCTGTGTTTAGACGCAGAGCGCAGCTATTGTGCTGCAAGAGCGAGCGATTTGAATGTCATTTCTAGCTTAGCTTTTTGTGGAACACTCCTTCGTTGAGGAAGCATAGAGTTGCATCGTCGATATATACCGGCTGGCCCGGCCCAGCGCCACCCGTGCCGAATCCCAGTGTAGTTCGTTCTGCGATCACTGAAGTTGGTTGCTGAATAACAGATCATGCAATACAATGGGAACGGAGCTGGGCATTTTAGACCCGTTCACGGAGCTGGACGATGCTCGAATTTCTTTAGGGAAATCCGTTCCAATGAAGGCTCTGGTATCTAGGGCTCGAGCAGTCGAGAGACCAAGATTTCCAAATTTCCTAGTTGACCTCGTTTCTTTGCATCATTCCCGACTTTTTTGTGTGTGTGATGTGAACACATATTTGCAAGCAGATGTAAATTGGAAGCAGCATTTAGCTCTCAGGACCAATGATCAGTCCATGGCCTAGCAGTGATCTGACAGCATTACAGACTTATACATGCAGTAGTTGGGTCGGTGATGCTGACGCTTGATTTGAGTCATGCATATGTCTGGTTCTTTTAAAGTTTGTGATGAATGTGAGATCTAGCTTAAGCATAGGTGTATGTTTGTAGTCTTTGTTCTGTTGTGAGGTCAACTAGAAGGGGGTTTACCATTCACACATGTCACCTGACGACGAGTTTGTGCTTGGCAGATGAACGAGAAGAGGTGTGGATGCTTTTGAAAGACAGGACGAGGTGACTCTGCAGCAGAGGAAGGGGCTCAGTGAAAATGGCGCTCGCTCAACGTTGGACGAATGGAAATGAGAAGTCGGCAGAAAATGATCTCTACAAAGATTTGCTTGAGATATTTCCGCTCATGGAAACTTTTATGGATAATAGGGGAAGCTACTCTTGGACTTCATCAGCCCGTCAGGCTTCCTTGATTGTAACTCCAGCCCCTGTGCGCCAACGAGTGGATCGAAAACCCTTGCAAAAGGTCGAAGTCGTCAGTGGACTACCCAAAGAAAACCACCACAACCACCATAGCAGGCCAAAATCAAGTTTATCCGACGACACTCACCGATACAGGCTACCATCGGACAATCGGATGTCATGGAATGGATGTGAGGATCCTGAACTTTCGCAGAAACAGACCTCTCGTGAATCAAGCGATGTGTTTATAGGAAAAGGTTCTCAGCAATATGATGAAGACTTTGTGCAAGAGGTGCTGGACGAGAATAGCAGACTGCGGGCCATGTTGAAGAAAGGTCCCTGGGATGAGGACGAAGTCTCAAGCCGTGTGGCTGTAGCGGAGGAGCTGGGTGTGCTACGAAGTAAGGTCGCTGCTCTGAATCATATGCTGGAGGCTGAAGATTGCAGGAACGATGACAATCTGTTTTTGTCAAAATCTGTCATTGCTCCTTTGAAAAGTTCATATATCTGGAATGCCGACGATTCATTTGTCTGGCCGTCGGAACTCATCGAAAGGGCAGACCGGGCAAAGCGTCAGTATCTTGCAGCAATCATTGCAGCGCAAGTATGTAAAGATGAATCTCTCTTGACTCTAGTTGCGGAATTGCGATTCCACCTGCAACAACTTTTTGCCCAAATCTAATGTGCCGTGTTACTTCCAGTCAATCGGTCAGTTTGTGGTGCTCCTTTGGATTTAATCTTTCAGATTCATGTCACTCTTTGGAGATTTTAGCTTGCACTGCTCATTGACATCTCATTGTATATCAATAAGAATTGAGATCCAGGTTTGGTACTGGCATTTGTAACAAAAGTTATACATGACCAACTCAGGAGAACATGCCATTATTTCTTTAGCTGAGTTCAGTATGATGCTAAGAAGTGGAGTTCTTACTGCTTCTTACATCGCGCGCTCCAAAGTTTATGGAGGATAGTCGGCTTTATCACGGAAGCTGGACTCTTCACCCTCAAGTGAAGAACAGATCCACCATCTGATATGCAGTCTGCGGTACATGCACTTGTATAAAATTAAGTCGTAAGTGGTTTGGTTTATCTTAGGTCTCGTGGTCTAGGTATAGATTGGAGTTAAAGGGTTTATAGTCCTAACCTCACAGCAGGATGAATCTTACTTTAGAGTAGACAAAGTACTATAGAACTATCTCAAACTTCGATGGGAAATCGAACCCTCTGACGATAACGCTAACATCTGCAAGTTTTGGTGCTTAACAAACTTTCACAATTGCGAAACGTATATTTGTTTGTAACGAACGGGCAATCTGTAGATACAAAACCATGCAGGATTCTGATATCTAGAAACATAGATTGAAACAATGTTGTTGAGTATGAGACTATCTCAATAATACCATGCTACATCAAAACCTTGGACTGCAGATCTTTCATATGAACTAATTTCCATTTCATTGCCATGAATGTCGATGTACTTGAGTGAAGTCTCTTCCAGTATATTTAATATATCGCTCCTGTTTAATTCCCACAAGGAATGCTCATGAAATCATCTTTTGATCATACCACTTCCTTGCATAGAACAAGGAACTGCGATTTCCATGATCGGAAATGTTCTGGGATAGGAATTGTTTATGATATGGTGATATTGATTTTAGTGTATATACACCCAACACACACCCACCCAAGAAATGACACGTTATACACCCAAGAAATACAACTGCGTGGGTGTGTGTTGGGTGTATATACTCTAAAATCACTACACTCTTATAATATAAAACGACTCACGGACAAAACGCCTCTACTGCCAAACAACAGATAATGAAAGTATCCAACCATCCGAATTGCAAAATACAGGGTATAATTTAATGAACGGTCACAATGCCCACAGCGGGCAAAATTCCACGTTAAGTCTGGAGACCGGCGCGAATGCAACCGGATGGGTGAATATATATTGTTTACATAGATCTATTATGTCTAGCAAGTTGTTATAAAGTTTTGAGTACACGTATGTTTCGAAATCTTTGTACCTTGTAGGGTCAAATTCGCAGTCAGAGAGACAATAAACGTTGGTAAGCACTGAGATGCATAGTTCGGATCACCTTACAACTAGTAAGTGTGCACCTATTGCAAAACTTTCAGTTGATTTAGACTTGGAAGTTGCCTTACGGTTTTCGCATCCATTAGAATCCAGCTGTCATTTTATAACTCACGCAAATCTTGGATAACAATAATGATGCTACTTAATTTCTGCGTTAATTTATGCAAATTGTTTACAAGCATTGCATATTCAAAACTTATCCTTGTCTTTTGCAAGTTTTGTTCTGTTGCTCAGTCGTTTAGTAAAATTCAACAACAAAAATGCAAAATATGCAAGACAGATCTCCAAGTATTAGATATATCATTTGCTGAATCGAAATGAGTAGTTTAGATTATCGTTTAAACAATTGATTCTCAATGCAAAGTTGTGTTGTATGGATGGAAAATCTTAGCATTTGGATTGTAAAATGCAACTAATGACATATTTCATTATCAATGCAATAAATCATGTTTTTTTAATATACTTATGGAGACAATTAAGCAATTTCTTTAAAAATTATCTATTTCAATTTCGTTACTCTCCAATAGTTTACAACTTCTTATTAACTATTTGCTAATCATAAAATTTACCATGATTAGCAAAATGTTTTTACTATTGTATATATTTAGAACAAATATACGATGAAGTATGATGCATTAGATACTTTGAAAATGGCCGATTATAATCATGAGAAAATGATGTGGGTTGGCATACTAAATCAATACGAAAAATTGTACTATAACATTGGAAAATAAAATATTTCTCTTGAAGAAAAAATATTTTTCTCCTATACTAGATGACAATACTTTCTATTATCATAGGTAATTTACAAATTTTAAAACATAGCAAATCAGATTTTATTAAAATAAATTTAGTTTCACTCTTATCATGCTTCTTGTATTAAAATAAAATTTTAAATTTATCTGTTGTAATTCATGAAAAAAAAATTATAGTTAAGACATGACATTTGAATTAAATTTTAAAAATGTAAATTTTTTTATGATCATTTTCATTATTTTTCTAGCATTATACTGGAATTATATCAAATTTCAAATTTTTATATAGGTTTATTAATTTTTTCAAAAATTTATTATGTTGAATTAGAAAAGAAAATTTTGTAAAAATTAGAGAAATTTTCCATTTTGAACTTTGATAATAAAATATAAAGATGAACTGATTTGAAAAATCATGTAGATGATCATCATGTAAGCTTCTTGATATTTATGCATATATAGATGAAAGTTTGAAATATATTACATAATTAAGATTTAACATACTTATTTAACATATCAATTGATATAATGATCACTTTTTGTCTTTGCATTTTTTATTATAGAATTTTTTTATATGTCATATTTTTATTTGATATCATCAACTGGTAAATTTAAATTTGATCTTGATAAGAATATATAAGTTAAAAGACGCTTAAATTTTATTTTTTATAAAAAATTTAATTTAGATCTTAGAAATATTATTTTTATGATTTAAATGGACTACAGTTTTTAACGTATTTACAAAAAGATGTACATATTTTCATATTTTGATGTTCAATGTGACAGTGATTATTGTATATTTATGGTTGTTTTCATGGCTTGTAAAATTATTGTTTTGTAAAAATGTTGCTAGATACAACCTTGATAGTCAATCATTCGAGTTTAAAGGTAGAGGAACACACTAAACTTTCTCTGATTTAGATGAGAGAGAAGAATTTAGTATTATCTGCATAGAAAAGTTTACGCATGGACAACGTTTGGATAATTGTTTATCCCAACGTTGGATAAAATTTTATACTATTCTTTGCTGAGAATTAAAAAATGTCTTGGATGTGTGCTTTAGAACTTGCATAATGAAAATGGATATGTAAAAGTTTAAATGACTAAAAGTTATCATCTCGATTGAATTTGGGATATTAATCGATTTTTCCCAACTCAGAAAGACAATGTAATAGGTGTCATATGTAGATGTCAACTTTCTTGGAAGTCTAATTTATAAAAACTGTACACTGGTGTTGTATGTTTTAATAAAATGATAAAGAATATAGAAAATCCCTCAACAAATAGTGTATCATACACCAACTATGAAATTAAATGTATAGATCTTGGAATAATGCAGCTTTATGGTGTTATTGGTATTTGGTAAAGTGATGATTTCCTTCGTCTATGATAGAGAAAACGACAACGATTTATTTGCTTTTGTATATTCACATCATCATCTGATAATATTTAATCCTCACGACCTTAATGTTGAACAACAATGAGTAAAAATGCATACACTGTGGACAGAAATGATTGATTATAATGTGAGATGTTTTCCGTTTTGAGTAGTCGATGACACTCCAATTCAAAAGAGAGAGGTAGAAAGAAACACACCTCTTGGCGAGGGCTGGAGTCTCACTTGGAGTTCCCTGACATCGAAGTGATGCTCACTCAAGTTCCACCCAATGATTCCTCGATGTGAAAATTGAAGAATGAGTCCGAGTCCCCGTCCCCTTCGGATTATTGCGAGAGCCTGAATTGATGACATGTCCAGAGATAGGAGAATATATATCATCATGCGCGGGTTATTCCCGGTTCAAACCCGGGGCGATATCACTCGAAGGATTCGAACCATGGGGGGAGGGGGTGGGGCAAGTTCAAGGCGATCACTGACTCGATGTCTCGTCTTTAGACCAAAGGTCAACAGAAACACGCTTCGAGCGCCATTGGACATACGTACGCCTCAGGGACTCACTCGGCCATTGGAATCCAGCTCGGATACGCTCACAGCTCAGAACCCACCACGTGGACTCGTTCCCGGCTAAATTCGAGTGGAACACCACATAACCCCCACGTGACAACCGGTGCCGCCAATTTGGCGATCGGCAGTTGTAGCCCAGAGTCCTGTCAGTCCTGTCACCTCGCCAAAGTAGCAGCAGCAGCAGCAGATGTTCGAGTTTACCCCCGGCCTACCCCTACTCCGCCCGGTCCCCCCGTCCCGCTCTCTGCGGCCGCAAGCGCCAAAGCGGAAGCCCCTAGAGACTAATGGTACGTCATGCATCTAACGGCGGGAGTGTGCAACCGGGACCCTGCCGGCTCAGAGAGAGCCGAATAACGGGCGGCAATTTGAAACGGGCCCCCCCAGATGGTGACACGCGCGTGGTTTGACTCGACCCTCGGGTCAGCCCAGCCCGTGGGGTTGGCGAGCGAAGGACGCGGGGCCCGGGCGGGCTGCTGGGTCGGGCTGGAATGGGGTGGGATGGCAAGGCATGGGGGGCCCCTCTCCCCCATGCCCAGGGCTAGGGTGGCTCCATGGGGCTTAACCTGACCGCAAGCCCTCCTGGGGTGGGGGGTCAGGGATGATGAGCGGGCAGGGGTGAGGGGTGAGGGGCGAGGGGCGAGGGGCAGGGGCTGCGTGGTCGGGTTGGGGGCCCCGTTAGTAGTAGAAGAAGGGGCCGGGGACATGGCGTGGAGTTTAGGCGAGGGGGAGGGTCAGACGAAGATTTGCTTGCTTGCTAGAACGCGGAGCGGAGCGGATTGGAGCCTTTTCGTTTGTTTGATTCGATCGAAGGAAGGGGAGAGAAGCGATCAATCGATGGACCGAAGAGCTCTGTGTGTGTTTCTCTAGTAAGAAGAAAAGGCCGAGCCGATCGACCACCTGCGGGCCGTGTCGTCGTTGTATAGTCTTCGGCTTTCTCCACACCATCCCCGGAGCGGAGAGAGACTGGGAGAGAGAGAGAGAGAGTGTGTGTGTGTGTGTGTGCTTGTGTGTTCTTTTCCGTGCCAGAGCTTGTGGCGTCAAAGTCTGCGCACTAGTATTCTATTTTGCGCTTTTTTGTTTGTGTGTGCGTTGCGTGGTTTTTGCTCGCTCGTGGTATTCGGATGAGGGCGATCGTAGGTCGGGAAACCTAGAGCCAGGGCCGCTTTCTCGCAATTGGTTGGCTCGACGCGGACGAGAACAAGTGGGTGGGCAGAAAAAGTCGGAGCCGAGGCCATAGTCTCTCGGCGCGAGAGCAGTGGGCGAGGCAGAGTCACTCACAGACAGGCCGCCAGGCGACCAGTTCTCCTCCTCGCACAGGAGCAGCAGCAACGAGTAAACGCTAGTGGAACCGCGTGTTGGTGCCTCCCCGGCGAGGTTATGGATGTTGCCCGTCGCTCTTGTTCTCTGAGCACTACTTCGACCTCTGCTGCTACTGGCTCCCACTTCTCCTCGTGCCGAGGTCTCGTGTACGCTGTTTGGTGTATTTAGACGCGGAGCAGAGCAGAGGAGGGCGGACGAGAGTTGATAAGAGCAGAGCAGAGTGGAGCGCAGTTCTTGAGATTGGAGAGCGAGCGAGCGAGCGAGCGATTCGGGGTCTCATGTCTTGGTTAGCCGGCTCTGTAGCAATCCATCGTTGAGGAATCGAGGAGCTTCATCGTCGACGCACACGCACACCCTTACCCTCGCTTAGAGTATAACCCGGCCCATTGCGGCCCGTGCCGAATCGCAGGGCGTCGCGCGTTCTGAGATTGGTGGGGTGTCGGTCGGTGAGTAAGTTTGTAGTCCCTAGGAAGAGAGAGCAGTTTTGCTGCTCTCAGTTCTAGAACCTGTAGCTGAAGAAGTTGCTGCGCAGGCAGGCAACATGGGCAACACTATGGGAAAGAAGAGGAAGATGGGAGGTAGCCTTTCGTCGAAGAGATTCGGGGGCCCCGATGTTCATGCCAAGAAGGACGGATTGAGCCCTCTGGGGAGGAGCTACTCAATGCCCTTGCACGCGAAGCCCAAGTCGGACAATTACCACGTCGTGGCGCTCACTTCGAGCACGTACGGGATTCTGAAAGTGGATGCGACCAAGGACCTCGACGATGCTCGGACTCCGGTAGGGAAGAGCCGCTTGAAAGAAGGCTCTGGCATCGAAGGGCTCGAGCAGTTGAAGGACCTCGACACGGCAGCCGGCGGCATTTCCATGCCCTGGTCGGAGGTGGAGGAGATTCTGAACCGGATGAAGCCGATCAAAGGAGGCCCGACGAAGGAGAGCGAGAAGGAAAGGCTGGTGACTGTGACAGAAGAAGTGCTGGGGGAGCCGGAGACAATCAACATGTGGGAACTGATGGAGGGATTAGACGACGATGCTCGGAGCCCTTCGCCTTTGTATACGTCTCCTTTGAATCTTCAGCCCGTGCTTCCGGCACCTCCGAAGAAGGGTCGGAGTTTAGAATCCTCGCTTTCCTTTTCTGCCGTGCACTCTGTCACCGAGGTCGATGCGCCCACGCTGAAAGCTGCAATTCACGCTGAGGCTGCGGCGGAGCAAGCCTGGAAACCTCCACAGTCCACGGAGAACACCGTCGCAGGGAGAATTCACGCCCCGGCGCTGTCGTCGCGCCCTGGATCTGGCAAAGAGAATGCCGAACCCGTCAAGCCTCTTGTGAGAGACGCAGCAGCCGCATTCACTCTGACGACCGAGAAACAGGTTCCCGTCGGCATTTCCAGCAAGGGCGGAGTGAGCGCCATCGTCAACGCACTGAACAACCGGAGTGCGGCAGGTTCCAAACCTCAGCAGCAGCAGCAGACGGATACCAGGAAGGCCCTTTCCAACTCGGTAGCCACACCCGAGGCCATCGATGTGGCCGCTTCTCAGGATCCTACATCGCTAGGATTGGAGCCGCAGTCGAGCTACACGTCTCCCTTCAGCTTTCAGACGACGTCCTCGGACGATTCGGACGATCACTTGCCTCCGGGCAGTCCCTTATTCGATCCTGAGCTTCTCGCGTCTTTCGAGAAGGCCATGGAAGAAGTGTCGGAAGACGAGTGGTACGCCGTGAGGCGCAGCGATGCGGACGTCGCCTCGACGTCCGGGAGCTCTTCGGACGGAGAGGGTCCCAATGGCAGGATTGCCAATGGCAAGATTAGCTCCGTCGTCGTCGAAGCCTCGCCTCTGGCCCGGAACCCCGAGAGCGACGCGAACTCGAGAAAGATGTTCTCCAAAGTGGCCCCGTTCGAATTCGAGAAGAAGAGACCCGTGGCTCAGGTAGATCCCTTGCTCAAGTTCGAGAGAAAGTGTCCTCCTGGCGGAGAGGGCCGAGTCGTGCTCTACTTTACCAGTCTGAGAGGAATCCGGAAGACCTTCGAGGATTGCAGCCACATGAAGATGATAATCAAAGGATTTAATGTTGCTATAGACGAGAGAGATGTATCGATTCACGCCGAATTCCGGGAAGAGCTGAGAGAGCTTCAAGGCAAGATGGTTCCCGTACCTAGGCTGTACATCAAGGGCCATTACATCGGTGGCGCGGAGGAAGTGTCATTGCTGCACGAGGATGGCACTCTCGCCAAGCTGCTGGAAGGCCTGCCTCACCAAACGTCATGGGAGCAGTGTGATGGCTGCGGAGGAGTGAGATTCGTTCCGTGTTCAGAGTGCAGTGGGAGCTGTAAGGTGATTACTGAGGATGGCGAGGTCGCGAGGTGTACAGAATGCAACGAGAACGGGTTGATGAGATGCCCGATTTGCCCCTGATGGAGGTGCGGGAGACTAGACATGTAAGAAATCGCCTTTCGCATCCGTGAGTTACCATCGCAGAGCTGCGTGGAGGAGGGGGTGTTCCTTCAGGATGGATCCAGCGTCCGCAACCGATAAATTGTGGGATCAGGGCTCTCCTCCTTCCTCCTTATTTCAATCGAGGTTCACAACGTAATGTCACATTCTAACTGGAGAATTGGTTCTGACCCCGTCTGACCACTATCGATACAACGATGAATTTTTAGTCTCCATCTGCCCCGAGATGAGGAGAAGCGGTTTAGCTGCCTGCACCATTGCCACCATGCTGGAGACTGCAAGATGGGCTTCTTATGGTTGATCTGGTCGTCTTCTCGTCATCAACGGCTGACAGATTTGCTGAATATACAGACAGAGGCAGTGGTCGGTGAATTTTATTGGTGTTGGAATTGGGTCGCAGCTCAATTGTATGCTCATTGAACTGTGATATCTTGTCATAATAGCAATCGTTATAGGAAATTTATTCCGTGTACAACATGATAGTAGCGAGCATTACATAGAAATCTACTGCTAACCTAACAGCAACTAGTTTAGAAGTTTTGTACCCGCATTTTGAGTATCAGACAAGTTGCCGAGCGGCCCTTATCTCTGAAAAGTACCGCAGCCGCTTCCAGTTACAGCCTGTTAGTTTTGAACTCCGCATCAGGGGTCGAGGCCGACTAAGGGGCCGGCCTGGCCCGATTGTGTATATATCAAAGGCTTGCACTCTTTGCCTTGTAAAGGGACCAGTGGTTGGTTGTATGGTGAGGGTGAAATAATTATTTCGACCATTCACGAAGTAAAAAAAAACTTTTTCCTCTCATTCATTTGTGTGAGACAGGTGCTACATTCTCTTTCTTCGTTTCTTCCCTCACACTGTCAGGCTTTGTGTGTCGCCCAGCTCGCCTGTTGGAGTCGTATCGTATCGAATGCACACAACTCTTCCTCCGTACCTCGATGTGATGCTTTGCCTCTCTTCGCTTTTGAAACGCCTGATGCTCGTTCAGCCCTCCCCCCTGGACAGCCAGCCCTGTCTGCGAACTGTCCCGCCTTCCTCTCCCCCTTGTCCCGGACACAGAAAGCTGGCTGTACAATTCTCCACATGTTCGCTGGCTCCATGTTGCAAAACCGCTGTGGGCCAGGTCACAAAGGTGGTGCTTGCCTTGAGGCTTGCCCAGGCCGAGTGAAAAGCGGGGGCTGTACAGCGAGAGCCAATTTCAGTCGCAATCTCACTAGTGATCTCGCTAGTCAGGAGGAGTAGCAGGAAAGAGGAAGAGTGCACTCTAATTAACGCAGCGGTGTCGTCAATTTCATAGTTGACCATGTCTGATTGCAATCCGCCACGAGCAGCAGCTGGACATTCCCCGGGTTTTTAGAAGATGGGCATGCTAGCAGAGCCTTGTGCGCGCAGCCACCCAGCCGGCCGGCCGTTCACCACTTCTCCTCGACTCTGCTGGGAATCACTGCAGCAGGTGGAGATCAGGCCGAGATGTGAGGAAGAGCCTGGACGAGACTGATGGCCGCTGACGTGGTCGCTGTCACCATCGGGAAAGTGAATGTTAATTTGGTACGAAAGCCTCCAGCTGCCAGCAACACCACTGGGCCCCTGCGGTCCTACCACTCTCCCCACCGCATCCACGATTCTTCACGCCTGCTGCAGCCTGCCTGCCTGCCCGCCCGTCTGCCTATTTAGTATTTACCCTCTCCTCCTCCCTCTCAGACAGCTCCCCTCCCCCACCACAACCTCCAGAGTCCACACTCCTGTGCCCTTCAAATCCACAGTCTCCTAGTAAATACTCCAATTCGGGAATACTTGACACAGCCCGATACGATTCAGTCGAAGCTCTCGGATGTAATCTGTACGACCCTACCTTCGGGAGATGGCGGATGGGTCCACCACACATCCGATCGATCGATCAATCGCTCGCTTGCAGCACAGTGTAGAGGGTAACGGGTCCCTCGTAGTAATGCGGACAAGTCGAGCCTCTAGTCCTCGCAGGACAGAGCTGGAGGCACGGGCGATGGGACTTCTCGGACGTCCGGCATCCGCCTTTCGCACACTTGCGATCGGACAGACGAAGCTCGGAAGGACCGGGCAACTTGCTGCATCACACACTAATGTCCGGCCTCGTTGGACTGTGGTGTAGCTGGAAGCTGGGTGCCACCCAACCCGACCCGACCCATACATGCAGAGGGAAAATAGGGAAACAGGGAAATCTGTGAAGGATGAGGTCGCATCTTGGGGTTTCAACATTGATTGGGGGCATTCCCCGCGTAATGAGCTGCAGTACATTGTCATCGATCCATGAGAGGTTTCGTATCGAAATAAATCTCGTGAGCAATAAGTGGAGATTCCGATGCCCATCAATGATAAAATTTGATTTGTTGCTCGCAATTACACACTTCCTCATTGAAGAGACCGAGCAAGTTCATAATCGCGACCCTCAAGGCTCCAACCCTCTCGTCTGACCTGTTCATATTATTTATCGCTATCTGGCTTCTTTTATGTCCACAGTACTTTCTGTCTGGCCTCCTCCTCCTGTTTGGAAGTGTTCAAATCGCACATTCTCTCCTCTCTGTCGGTCTTCGTCCTATCCCAGACGCGAATCAGGTGATGTGATATGTTCCTCTCTAGGTCAAACCTATTCCTACAACTCGCCAAAGTGGCAAAGTCTCTCTTGCTAAATTATAACCCTCACCAGGACGCATTCGCAGCACCCAATAGATTTCCGTGATCGTGTCCTCGCAGATGCTTCGTCTCATTTGTAGCTGGAAAATTCTACTTATGAGAGCAACCATTTCACATGGAGAAATATTGCGGCTTACCTTGTTCCATCTCTCTCCAGTTACTCCCATCTGGTTGTTACCTCTCATTTCCAACCAGAATGAGGGAGGCGATGATTCTTGCCATATCGGATAGAGCGTCAGAACCATAAAGCGAATATGTACACGGTTTATATTCCCTGATCAGTGCATAGTAAGAAGGATATGAGCGTCTTTGGCTCATTCACTTAGCGCGTGGCCAGATGATGGCGACACATCCATTCAGAAATTTGTTTCAAGTTGCATTCACGAAGGGATCTGATTCTCTCGTACGCTTGAAAACTGCTTTGTCTCCGCGTTGTCAAAATCTGTTTCTCCCCTTCTCTAATTCTAATCCTTGTGTCTTAAAATGGGAATAAATGAAGTAAATGGGCGAGAAAGGAGTCAGTCAATTGTCGCAATCGCAATCTTGTATGAAACTGCGGACCGTACTTGCATCGTTTCTGATGCTACTCAAAGACAATAAAACCTAATTAGAAAGTCGCAGACCATGCTCCTCAAGTCTTATCTTTCTTTCTGTCCGTTCTTTTGCTTCCATTCCATTTCTGTACTTTCTTGAAATCTTCTTCGACACCGGACCAAAACTCGTTTTTTCCATATGGCCAGTGCTAGGGTGCCTCGTTTTGGCCTTGCTTTGAGTTCCTGCGTGACTCGTGACTCGTTTCATTCCCTCTTCGTGTGAACCGAATTGTTACTTGTCTTGTCATGCTCTTGCAGCGTCAAGTTGCCAACACACCTGACAGGCCAAGCAGGCAAGTAGTCCACCCCCATGCCCATCTCCCCATCTCCTCCTGCAGCATTTGCTCCCCGCCTGAGTTTCCAAAGCCGCCAATCGAGGAGATGAAAATCAATCCATCAATTAATCAATCAGTCGAATCAGTCGAATGCATAGGATACACACCTACGGTGTGAGAGAATTCGGAGCCGCAGGGGCATGCGAGAATGACCTCGGCTTCATCAGCTCTGCAGAATGATCTGCTGTAAAATCCTGGATGGATATAAAGAATCATAGTCTGGTGGGACTCAGGCCACGTCATCCCCATTCAGGCTGCGCATGTGTCGAGCCGAGCGAGTTAAGGCTCCATTAAACACGACAAATCGAAGGCCAGTGAACTGTCTCCATCGATCGGACTCTCATCGCATCACCATCCATCGAACTCAACCCTAAATCGCATCTGTCCATGCAGTACACGAGTGGAATACGAGTCGAGTAAGAATTTCGGAAGAGTATAAATTTATTAATTTAATGGAGTACATTCAATTGAGTTATAGATTTATATTAGAGACCAGAATCTGCACATCTAAGGCTGACTTCGCTGAGAATAGGAGCCTGTGGTTTAATTCTTCCATTCTTTATCTCGTGTCACATGAAAAATTTAAGTCTTCCAGCTTTATTCCTCTCGGTGTCATCTTGCCTTCCCCGCCTTCTTTTCTCCGCACCACCAAGTCGACATTTCACTCAACTGCGAGTGACTTGGACTGAAAGGCACTCAATAATTGTATCATGCGAAATGCAGCCGTAATTTATATCCACATTAAAGGAGTAGACCCGTACAAAAGTACTCCCAATATTTTCGAGTGCATGTGGGAAGGAGAAGAATTAAAAAGTTCACGATGTGCATGGCGCATTTCATTTGCATGAAGGTTTCTTTTCATTTTATTTTTTCGGGCTTTAGTTTTCAGTGGGCATGTTGGATCCTCTCGCTTGTTCCGTATGCTTCCACCACATTATCATTTGAGTACGGTTTAGATTCTGATGAAGTGATGGGGGAGAGTAGTTTTTTAGTATGACAACCAACTTTAAGTCTCTGTGATAGTATATGTATGGTGGGAATAATAAGTTTTTTTTTGTTGTTTCATTATGTTTTATTGGTACCCATATCGATAAATACTTGTAAAGAGTGATCTTAGTGATTCGATTCATTCATGAATCATTGATGTTTGTCAAACATGAGACTCGTTGGGTTTATGTTTGTCTCATTTATTCGAGTTCTCTCATAAATCCCCTTGAAAAAAGGAATAGGTAGTGCATAAGAAATTGGGAGAATCAGCCTAATATAAATTCTTCAGACAAATTCTCTCTCTCAGAATCAAGAATATGTTTTATCATTTGACTACCATGGTTGTAAGCTTTAAGGTCATAGATATCAAAGATTAGAGCATGTTCTTAAAGCATCTTTTATTATCTTTAACCTTGAAAAAAAATGCATGACAACAACAAACCACGTGATCAGATTTTTAGTGTGAATAATTTTCAAGACTATGTTTCATTCCATCTGCAATATAATCTTTTCAAAAATCTGCCAAATTTCTTTACTAGAAAATCATCATGTACTATTTATAGTATTCTACTCTAGTACATTTTTAATCCATCTATCTCATTGACAAAATTCCTTGTTGAACTGTATTTTTTTCACGCTTGATAAATCTAAATAAATGCTTCTGATTTTTTTTACCATTAGACTACGAAAACCTTTACTGCAGAATTGATACTTGAAAATGAGAAAAAAATATTTGTTAGTTTAATTTGATGGGTTAAACTTATGACTGAGATAATCAACACCTAAACATTTTTCTAGTAAGTGGCCATGTTTTGAAGAGTTATAGGGTTTAGGAGATGGTATGACCATGAGAGTATTCATCTTTGGAATATTTTCGGTGAATGTGAAGGGCAATATCAGTTATTTAATAAATATTTTGACAAAGAATGTAAAATATTTTGTCTCCGAATTCAAAATGAGTCATTGGAGTTAAACATCTTAGATGATTTTTGCTTATAATGTGAATGTTATCCATGATAGTAATAAACTGTGTCATTCAATGTGTCACAAGAAGTTGTCTATTCAATCAAAAGTAGTGTTGGTAAATTTTATGGTTGATTCGAGCCATATATTCATATTGTTTCAACTCTTACATATACCAGAGTTATGGAAAAAAAATAGACCAAGTTTTTAAGGGTTGGCAAGTGAAGCGGAAAATGCCAG